GGGGGGGAAGGGAAGGTATGTAGCTTATAAAGTGCTGGAAGGTTGACGAAGGGAGGGATGGCGGGGACGAGTCGCAGACTAGACGCGCGCACCAGGGGTGTTGGTTGATTGTGGGATGAAGGGAGGACCAGGCCGAAGAAGCAGAATTGCAGAACAGAATTGCAGAATTGGAATTGGAGGATTGCAGCAGGTGGCGGGTTCGTGCAAGGTGAGGATGGGGAGTTTGTAGGTGGTGATCGTTGTGGTGGTGGTGGGTGAAGGTGTAGGAAAGAAAAGAAGTCGAGCGTCGGAGGGAGTGGAAATAATCGACGTAAGTAATAGATGTGGATGTTGGCCGTGGTGGGAGGCGGCGGCGGCGTGGGCGCGGAAGTAGCGTGGGGAGGGAGAGAGGGCTGAGGGCTGAGGTGAGTTGAAAGTGAGGTAAAGGTAAGGTTGGATTTGCAGTGTAGCGTGCAGTGCTGGCTTGGGCTACCGCTTGGTACTAATAGATAGTAGTACGGAGTAGCAGCAGCAGCAAGTAGTACAACAAATATCAAATGGAAATGGAAATGGGAATGCCAGCCAGTGGGTGGGTGCAGCAACTGGATATAATAATCATCACAGCACTCACTTCGTGCCGTATGACTGATCTGGTCGGCAAGGAGAAATAAATAAGTAAATAATAGTGGCTCCAAAAGGTTCAATGCGCAAAAAGAGCCGGTCCGCTGTTGGGACTTCGCAATAATGCTGGCAGATAATGCTGGCCCGGCGCCGGGAGGGGCTTAGTACTAAAAATAAGGCCGGTAAGGTTATGGGTTCTGGTATTTCAGACTTTTGGTTCTGGTGGATTTAGCGCTGGGCGCAGTGCGGTGCAGCGCAGCGCAGTGCAGTACGAAGTACAGTACAGTGCTGGGTTGTTGTTGTGTTGGCCTGCGGGTTGTAATTCGAAAGTAAATTCCCCTATGTGTGGAGAAGTACTCGTTTCGTTTCGTTCCGTTCCGGCCCTTCCTTTGTTTGGCTATTGTTTGGTTTCGTCTGTACTATACTCCACGAGTGCCGGAGGTATGGAAGGTGCTGTATGTATGATGTGGGCAGTATTGAGGCAGGGAGGGAAAAGGGAAAAGGGGAAAGGGGGAAGGGAAGGGAAGGGGAGGGAAGAGAGCTTTACTTTAAGTAAGGGTAAGGCACGGAAAGTAGGTGAACGAATTTAAGATATTTTTGCTATTTGTTTGGTTTGGTTCGTTTGCTTGCTTGCTTGCTTGCTGGCCCCTAGGAGTATAAGGCGGTGTGTAGACTTCACTTATCACCATCATTACCATTACTATTAGTTACTAGTACAGTATCATCTATCAAACAAACTAGAAGGGATGGGTGATCCCCCCTCGGGCCTTGCTTGTGCTGTACCATGGTTTGGCCGAGTAGGAGCAGGAATAGGAATCGAAGTAGGGAGGAGTAGCACCAAATAATCGCTGCCTTACCTACGTACCCCCAGTATCGTATCGTATGGTAAATCTCCGCGAGGCTCGTAATAATCTCCCAGTTGCAGGCAGGCCAGCAAGCAAGGGCCACGCCGGTTTTAATTTTTTTTTTGCAAATTGCAGAGGGAGAGAGGAAGAAAAAAATCCCCCGAGGTCAAGCAAGGGCCCCGCAAAGCAACCACTGGGACCGTTTTCACTTTTCCTCCATTAATTGGCTCCAATAATAAACACGGGTCCGGCTGACTGTGTGCACTGTCCCTCCGCCCTTCAATAATACATCTGTAAATAAACCCAACCCGAGCCCAAGCATGTTACGTGCCACTAGCCTGGGTTATAGTATGTACTTGGGTACGAAGTCGTGGCAGGCAGTATACGAACGACGACGCCAAAGCCCAGCACCCCCCACCATGCCCAGCCAAAGAAGGCGGACAAGGCAGCGCGCGAAAAGACAGAATGGAAAAGGGCAATTGGGGAATGTGGCAATGTGTAAATGTTGTTCACGAGACCCCTCGACGGCGACCGGGGGCCCAGCATATCAAAGGGAGGTATGTGACGGAGCTGGAGACCGCAGTCCAATGATAATCCCACAAATGCAAAATCGAGGCAAAACAAACAACCAACAACAACACAAAAAAAATATTCAAACGGAATCCCCATTATGGTCGGCCTCGGCGCCTCTTCAGCTCCTGGCTCCTGAGCTCCCCTAATCCTCACCGCCCCCAGGGGGTGGAGTTGATCACAAGGCGCTGCCCAACAGGCACAACAGCCCTGAGCCCTGCATCGCGCGGCACCAGTCTTCAGGCTTACCGGTTACCTGCCTGCGCTGCTGCTGGCTGGTCGGCTGGTGGGCTGTCTCTGACGAGTGTGATCTGATCTGATCTGATCTAACTGATCTGCCTCTGTTTCGTCTCTGCCCAGTCTCCGTCGGCCGTTCCTCTCTTCCCCGTTCTGGCTGGCACATCTGCCCTTTCTGCCCTCCATTTCTGCTAGGAGTCCCAGCCAGTCCCGTTGCCGCCCCGTCCCGAAGCGCTCCCATATTATTGTCTCTTGGCGGCCTGCTTGCCAACCACACGGGGGACGAAAAAGGGCAGAAGCTGAGCGGAAAGGGGAAAGGCGCCTGGCGGGTTCCTGTACACCCCGTATCGCGGACTCACCACTCTGCGATGCGATGCGATGCGATGCAACAAAGAGGGCCGTCCCCCCAAACCCAGGATAAAGGTAGCAGCGAGCGCGTCATACAGACCGGGGCCAGCATGGCACAGTGGGGAAACGCTGGGAGCTGCTGGGAGATGCTGGGGAGTGGCTACTGGGGGAAGATGAGCGCCTCGTTGTCCCATGGGCGGCCAAGCAAGAAGTCATGCCATCGGACTCTGCATGGGAATCTCCATCTCGTGTGGTCGCTCTTATCTACGTGCAGGCGCTACCCCCGTGTGCAGCAATCGTAGTGGCTGTGGTTGGCGGGCAGTGGATGGTGTGAACTCTGTTCTGTTTGTTAATCTCTGGAGGCCACGGGCGACTCCGTCTCGGAGGAACATCATCTGCTCGGATAGCAGTGATAAACAGAACTTGAAACCATCGCAACCTGGAGATCTTCGCAAATCACCACGTATGTACCTCGTAGTTGGGCAGCTACTCGGCAATAATCTGCGACCCGGCAGTAGTACAGTCCCTTTTGCCTCCTGTTCATTTCCTGCGTTTTCGCTGGTTCGTGCTCTGCTCTCTGACATCAACCTATCCCTATCTCCCCATGACGACTTGTGGTCTTGGCCTACGTACGGCGCAGGCTAGCACGAGAGAAGCACGGCAGAAAGCGTCAAATATCTCACCGAATAACAATTGATGACCCGGTTTTCCATTCCATTCCATGATTGTATCGTGATCATCAACAATGGCTGCGATTCGGCACATTATCATACGCTTTCTCCCTCTCGCTCTCGCTCTCCCCCGCGTAGCTGCAGGCTGCATGCAGACGGCGGACGAACCGCAGCGAAGCAGAACAGAACTGACAGGTCTGATTTCCGCCCTCCAGCTCAGGTCATGTATATTCAATATGTAATATGTAATATGGATGTATGTCGTCTGTCGTTTGTCGTTTGTCCCCCGAGGCACCAGCTGAGTAAGTGGTTGCTGTGTGTATATACCGGTACTGTATATACTCCGTCCTACTACCACATACATACCTTTACGTACTCGCCCTCGTCCTCGTAGGGTCGTACGTAGCCCTCAAACCTCGCTCTCGCTCGTCAGGATGATAGGATCTCAGATACGGCGTATGGTCAGCTCCAGGGAATCAGGGACCGAGGCACGCCGACGTGCATAGGGCGAGCTCTGTTGCCAATCAACATCCCGTCTCAGCATTCCGCCCTCCGCTCGTGAGTCTTGAACCATGTGTTGCCCCTGTCCTGTTTTGCGTAACTGGCGATGGCACAGCCGTCGTCTGTCAGTCGTCTGTCACCGACTCATCCCCCTCCAGCTCTCTGTGCTACAACGGGGTAGCCCTATTCGTACGTAGCAGTACTACTACTACTCGTGTCGTCACCGCGTCACACAGCAGATAGGTGGCCGCCGGTGCTATATCCTGATGTCCTGATATGCTGAGATGGTGATAGTGCTTGCTATCGGCTCACCCGCCCCGGTGCCTGATAAGAACCTGGCCCCTCCACTCAGTACTCAGTCCACCGCTGGCCTCCATTCCACAATCCCTCCCCTGGAGCACAAAGGCATGCCATGAGTGCCGAGAATGCAGCACTACTACCGGAAACGAGCCAACCGACCGCATTTGGTTGGATGTCGAGGAGCGTTGAGGATGTGGAGGAAATTATTGGAATGTTGTGGTGTACGGAGGGAGTTGGATAGGGGGAGAAAGGAGTTGGGCACTGACACCTTGGCCGCCCTGTGCTCAACAGTCAAGTCTCAAGTCTCAAGTCTCAACCACTGAACCACTGCGCTGGAACTCGGGAATGTCTCTCCCTTCTCCCTCCGTCTGCCCGCCTGTCTCTGATGATGATGATCCCCCCGCCGGGGTCCCAGTCCCATTATTTACCACCGTGCGAAATAATCCTCCGTAAGTGCTCGTAGGTTTGCGACTCGCCACGGGTGACGGTTTCACCGCGAAGAAGGATTCTCTACGACGGCTGCAACGGTTGGACGCGACACGGAAACGGCGGCACTCCTCCTCCTCCAGCACCCACGAGCGCACACGAGAACACACGAGATCCAAGTTCGAGGTATGATGGCACACGAGGTAGATCGCGGAGACATGGACACAGTGACAGCGCGACACGTTGCACAATCCGCCGCTCGGTGGCTTAATGGCGTAATGGCTTAATGGCTTAATGTCTTGATGGCCTGATCCGTTCAGCAAGTGAGACTCCTTCCGAGGACTCCATGCTCGGTTCCTCAGTCCCCTTCTCTCTCAGACTATCAGACGCTCTCTTTCTACTCTCTCTCGCTCCCCCTCTGCCACTCAGCGGTCTGACCGCGCGACCAGCAGCTACCAGTTGTCCTCAGTGCTGGGTCCGACGCCACCAGAGCACCCAATGCCACCCTGTGCCCGCGCCGCGCATGGGCGGATGCAGCGAATGTTCTTGATCTGCAAGAGAAGCAAACAAAGAAGGGATTGCGAAGCCCATTCTTCCGGGGGGGGGCAAGCCCCTTGTTGCGGAGTGGCTCAAGGCTCAACTCAAGGCTCATTATTGAGCTTGTTATTATTGCGCATTGCTTCGCGCAGTCAGTATTCACACGACGATGGTGACGGCAATGGTGCGACATCCACCGTACGACATGCCGAATACACAACAATTTGCAAGAACAAGAACAAGAATAATGGCAATGACAATGCCAATAATGGCCACAATTCACGTGGCAGCCAGCCATTATTAAACCTAAACCCCGAGCCAGGAGGCTCTGCGGATCTCCCAAGCAGGAAAATCCCCCGGACGAGCGCTCGCTGGCTCCTCCACTACTTACCTATCCGCTGGTGGGAAGGAGTTCACTGGCATCCTACCATTTTTTTTTCTCTCGCCTTCGCCAACAACCCATTCCGCATCTGCGGCCCGACGAAATACTTCTGTGGCCTTCTTCTACAGGAAGGAGAAGCGCAAAACCAGCGCCTCGCAGATATGTACAGTATGTATGTACTAAGGTACGTACATACAGTACCATACATACTACAGAAGACCATGTACGAAGTACAGTCACTCCTGACTGACTCCACCTGGTTCCTGGCACCTGGCATAATGTTGAGAAGAGCGCAGCTTGCCAAGTGCGAGAGCTCCGAACCCCCGTTAGCAAAGCCTCGGTGATGTCGATATTCGATAATAATCTAGAACTCCTCACCAGTAATTTCGAACGAGGTACAAGTTTTTTAGAGTCTCCCTTCATTTAACTTAGCCGTGGGCTCCCGTCTCCCCGCCGACCCCTATCCCTTCACGAAACAAAAGCATCTACAGAAACACGCTTGCTAAGTTGCTCTAAATTCCTGTAGGATGAGGAGCAATTACGTAGTACGGGTCCTTCCCCGCTCTAATATTAAATAATAAAAACAGTTTTAGCAACCCGATCACGGGCTGCCGGCGTGCCTTGGTAATAAGCGCTTTTTAGATTACAACACTCGGAGATTTGCCCTAGAAGCCTCTTTCAGACTTGTCACAATCCTCTCCTGCAAGAGTTAGAAGTTGGAAACCAACGGCACCGGGACTGAGTACTTTATGTGGGACGTCGCTATATGAACGAATCTGGTATTCCGTGCTTGCAGCTTCCCTCTTCATGTTTATATCCCATATCCATATACATCTCCCACATCCACATCCACATCCATATCCCTATCCCTCTCCTATATCCATATTCTCCCGCGCCCATAATACCGAGTTCCAAGTCTTCCAACCTGCCACACGCTAACCGCTCTTCACGCCGGCTTCATCGTCGCCGACTCGCCGACTCGCGCTCAAATTCTCAATCCTGCTCACTGTCGTATGCGGTACTTGCGCTTGCTCGTGGCCCATCCCCACACAGGGCCGTGCTCCCCCTTCCACCGGAGAGGATTTTGTTCTCGAAAGTTGGTCATACCTTGCGTTGTGGCGCCGCACGCCCCAGATGAAACGCCATGATCTGCAGCATCTGCAGCATCTGCAAGCAATCTCTACCCCATTCGCCGTCTGTCGGGACACCGAAATAGAAACATATTATGTGGGCTCGGACGGTCGAGTACGAGGGCGGGCATCCGAGGAACGTCGCTTGTTAGACGACCATGGCGTCCCACTCCCTACGAAGTATTTACAGCGTCGCTCTACATTTACATGTACAGTACACCTCCCTAGCAGGGTTCTCTCAACTGCTCCGCTCTGCTTTGCCACATGACAATTAAAATATTGCACGGTGGAAGGGTCCATGACGGATAGGGATATCGCCCTAATGGCTAACGTTATGATTTTGAATACGTGGGGTCCAGCTTCAGAGGACGACACTGAATTGGAGCAGCAATACGAGCCATGCAAGGTCAACCGAAACTGCAACTGCACCTGTTTTCAGGCTCGAATCCTTCGAGGCTCACAAGCCAAGTTCAGCTCCTGCTGCGGGTATCGATCGATCGGTCTTGAACATGTGGGGATTGGGGTTGTGGTTGGATTTGGAGACATGTTGGAGACGAGGCATTGCCCTCTCCAGCGCCCTGGGAAAAGGGGGCTTGGACTTACGTAGGTAGGCACAGCACGAGTACGTTGCTCTGACATAAGCCTGAGCTCAGCGTCATCCACCAACGTGGGGAGGTCAATTTCGTCGATATCTCCCCATGAAGGTCTCGTTCTCTCTCCAAGATTTCCCTATTTCTGCGGCACCAGCGCCAACGGCGGCATCATTGCCATAACCACGCCGGGCCAGATAGAGCAGAAACAGAGACAGAGTCACATTCTCGGTACGCATATACAGAAACAGGCACAGGCGCAGACGCAGACACAACTACAAGGGAATATGTTGTGCTACAGTCACTCATCTCCCCAGTACCGAGAGGCTCTGCACTCAAACGTTGCACAGGGCCATCGCAATCGGCCAAGTCCCGAATGCTCGCGCGCTCTTTGTGTCACTGCCTCTTGTACCACCATGTTAAGCTCATTGCTCGAGTACTGTCCAATGCCAGCGCGGACACTGACGCCAGCGCAGCGCGAGCGGCGAAGCTGTCTCAACCTCGCGACGTGATGGAAATTGCCTCACTCAACTCAACTCCAAAAAAAACCACAACCCGGTCCCAATTGGAATTATCCTGCATATGCATCTGCATCTGTATGCACCCTGCCTGGCGGGCCGAGGTCTGCTCTCCGCATTTATCGTTATCGGCCGGCTGCAACGGACCATCGCCCTACCCGTCTTGCCGCCCTTGATGCTGTCAGTCTGCGGATCCCCGGTTCGGTGCTGGATCTCTCATGGCCTTCGTCTCTGTAAGGCCTCCTTCTAATGCAGCATTTTGCGAGGCCCATATCGCATTCTGCATGTGGCACACGAGACGAGGTATGCCTTCTGAGCCCCTATAATCTCAATATGACAGATCGCATGTGCATAGCATGTGTTTCCCGGCACGCTGCCGTTTTGGGAATGCAATCAATGTGAGAGATCGCCGACCCCACGTCCACCTTCTACGAAAGAAGCCCTCAAGCATTCCTATCAGCCATCACCAAATCAACAATCAAAGCATACCCCGCAAAGGGCGCTCAATCACCGAGAAACCTCCTTGGCATGGTGTGGTCCGGCGCTTCTCCTTGCTGTTATGTTACACCTTTCAAGGCTCCCATACCAGATCCCAGATCGGCCTTCGATCTGCATATCAGAGCTGTCGTGTTTTCGACTTCTGCCTGCTTTTCAGCTGGTATTTTTCGGGGTTGGTCTCGAAATGTGTTTGATTTTGATTTGACTTCGGAGGTCTTACTGCATCTTTTTATTTGTCTTACTATCTCCTTGCACTTAACATTTTCCCTCTATTGCCCTCCATTTTCGATTTTCGTGGGCCTCAGCCGCACCTGACTCGCTCTTTCCAGATATTTCGATTTGCCTAAGATTGCCTCGAGCGAGGGATCATCGGGATTCCCGGGCGTCGTTTCTATTACACCATCTGGCGTCACGGCCGGGGATGGGTTGCATGACTAAGGACGGGAACATACAGGCTGCTGGTCAGATTCGATTGAGGAGAAATCCCCACCATGCATACACGTGGTCTTCCACCTAAATTGTACCTGACCATCCAAACCGTCCGCCGTGGGCAGATGATGCGGTGGTACTGTAGTACTGTTACATCGCCCAGGATGGTTAGCGATAAGTAAATCTGTGTAAGACGCAGGAGTCACCCCGCGCTGGATTTTCTCACGAACCTCTCCAATCCACCCCGCATTATCGTTGCATTTGTCGATAAGCAAACAACCCTTTAAACGCCACAACTCCAGCAACTGCAAGTAGCAGTGCGACCCTGACAAATTAACTCGAAGCGCAGAGCATAGAGCTATATTTATTATTTTGCTTTCCCGACAATGGGGTAGTATCCACCCGGCTCGGCCCTCCTCTCGTGTACCTCGAACCCCGATCCTTCCAATTGATTGGTACCATCCCATGTTCCAAAACGCCACACGCCGACAAAGCAAACAACGATCTATTTCGCGGGGTAGAAGATCGTATTGCCGACCAAGGAAAATTCCCCTCTAGGAAAGCGTTACGGAGCCCATTGGAACCATGGCTGGTCTGATGATCACGGTTTCTGCTGATCATCTGATAGCGATAGGGCAGGAGAGGTAATATGGAAGATATCTTGGACGGGCTTCGAATCGTCCAGGAGTTATTGCGAATGGTGACGTTGGGGAGTGGTCGATTTGGACACGCGGCGCCCCCCGCGCGGTCCAGACCCTCGACGTTCCGAACAACCTTATCTCACGTGTCACATTGGTTACTTCGCGCCATGCGTCGAGGTCGTGGAAGCAGGATATGACATGTTGGAAACGCCAGGCTCTGTCCTCTGTTCTGAACTGAGGTAAGGGGAACTGTGCCCCCACGTGACTTTTAGACTTCATGTCTGCCTACCTACCTACCCAGGTACTGCGGACCTTCTGGTAAGCTCGGACTACGCATAGAGATGCTTTTCTTTAAGGTGGGTTGGCATACGAGGAATCTGCTAGTGCAAATCCGCTATACCATTTACTATGCCTTTTCTTTTATCTATATTCCTCGTGTTATTTTATCAACCTTCCTCTCCGCACTTCCTTCTACTTCAATAAAGCAAAAGCCGAGATTATTCGCTATACTATTAAACATAAAACGTGTTAGCTAAGAGCTAGGAGATGCTAAGTTAGGGGAGGTATTTGTAAATAAGACGGCTTAGAGTCCTCTTATGGTAGAATAACCTGTTTTTAGCTCAAGAAAATATAATAGTAATTTATGGTGTTTGTATTTGCTTATTGTTAAGAAAACGTAGTTGTTCGGCGTGTTAAAAAAGTTGAGAATATTTATTTTAGACGTTTATGTTTGAGAGGTGAGGAGTTGAGGAGTGAATTTGATGGCACTATCAACTCAAGTCAACTCTGAATATATTGCTTGAATTCAGCTTTCAACTTTATCCAACATTTCAATTTCCAATCTAATCTGTGAATGATCATCCTCCCAATCCTCATCGTCACTATCTATTGTCATACCTCAACCATCTCCATCGAGTCTAAGTACCAACACAAGGTAAGCTCAATTGTCACTATCCTTCTAGGTTCACGTCACTTTTGGCATTGGCATAAATCTCACAACAAGCTTAATAACTTTCTATTCTATAAAAAGGAAAATTCTATTCTTTAAAAGTAAAACAATCCTAAGCTTGAGTACCTGCGCTCCAACCTATCGCCCATATGCCTAATATGCCCTTCTCTGTCGACAATCGTCACAATCCCTATCCCTTCTTCCTACCTTCCTGTTAGCATCGTTACAAAGAGTTCCATTGAAATAGATGCAAGGTCTACGGAAGACGGACTGGTGACCACAACCGAATATCTCGGTAAGAAGTGAGCACATTTTTCCTGATAGAATGTTTGTAAGGGAAGTCGAAGATATGAAGCGTGCTGTGTGGAGGGGACCCTGGTATATATATATAAAGTGAGTTTTGAGTTGTTGGTGGAGTGCGTTGTGATAGAGTGTTCTGGAGATTCTCAGATAGGAGGGGATTCGGCCCATATTTATGCTTCTCGTCTCCTATGAGGTAGTGATGTTCTTGTGTAAAGGCCATTGTAAGATATTGTTTGTTACATGAGATTTGCTGCACAAGCATAAAGGAGCGTTTACTGTTTATTGAAGACAAGGCAAGTTTCTTTGTGTCTCGCAACCCACAACAGCTTTCAACCTTCAAAGACAATCACTCCCTCCACAATGAACCCTTTCAACCCATCCCCAACAATCTCAACAACCAGCTCCTCAGGCGACGAACCCGACGTCCCTCTCACCATTGCAGCGCGTCTAAGAGCGAGAACACGGAAACATGCTGCTAAACGAAAGGAGGTGATATCGAACTTAAGACAAAGATACAGGGAAGGTGGCAGGAAGCTATTGGGTGTGGTTATCTATACAGCGAAACAAGAAGAAAGAAGTGATAGTGAGGTAATGAAACAAAGAGATGAAGCTGATGACACGGATATCCTCGCAAACACTTTCAATAAGCACATTGGATTCACTACTGGTTCTCATGCTATGTCGTCACAGGAGCGGGATGCTACATCTACCACGCATAGCACTTCAACACCCTCGCAAAACCAGCGTCATAAAAAGCCGTTGCATATACCCAACGCCGCGGTCACCTCTTTGGAACAGCACCACTTTTTACAGCCGGCTTGTCCCGCAACTAAAGAACTCCCTCTCTATGCAACACCAAACGCCTTGAGGAGAAAGCGCTTCAGGGAGGCTTGTGATGCGTTTGAGAGGAAGTATAGAGTTTCGAGAGATGATCCGAGGGTGTTGGCAAGGATGAGGAGTCCCAGTCCTGCTAGTGATGATGATGGGGATATGGTGGGGATTATGAGGGTGCAGAGGTGCTTTAATGGAGGGGATGGTTGTGGGGAGGTTTGAGGACAGGATGGGGGACTCAGGTGGTTATTGGGTACTTTAGATGGATGGATAACAGCTTCTTGCTAGATGTCGAGCAGCGGAATGCTCAATGGGAGATGGCGCTGATCGGGACACGACTCACTCTTCGTGCAGACAGAGTTGTGCCTTCCTCCCACCCCCGTCACTATTTTTACGTTGGAGGATAGATTGTGCGTTCTATATCAGATCGCAGCCCATCTATTACCATCACCCCGAGCATTCCATATCCATTTTATTTCAACTCGCCTCAATTCCTCTCATAAATTCCACACTAAAGGACAAGTGTGAGTTTAGGTTGTCGCTGATCTATTGACCTGAGGGTATTTCTAGTTTGGTTACGGTGTCTGTGATGTCAAGGGTGAAGTTCTTGAGGTTTAACCGCGTATGATTGTTCTGCATCGAAGTTGCTGCTCTAGGATTCATCAGCGATGTGGGCTCCCAATGTTCGATTTATTCACACACCTCTGGGCCTTTCTGTTGTTACTTTACCTTTTTGATTGAATACCAAAATTGAACTAACTCGTTGGCATATTTGCATATCTCTGCTGACATGCAACATCATGGAACCATGAACGTTGAATTACTGACGACAGAGGCAGAGGAGCCCACGGAGTAAGTAACGCCGAATCTGGAGCTTGAGCTATGGATTGAAAATAGGGAGGTTCCATAGCTTGAAACACTTTGGGCAATTTTAGATCGAGCGCCTCTCGACTTTGGGAAAGCGAGTAGTTCTTCATATGATTCTTTTGCCAGTTCCCAGGCTCTCATGAAACCAAATTCTGTCCATCCTATTGGGTTTGCCGGCCGTAATTCAACTACTAGAAGCCTTAAGCCATCCACGAAGCTTTGAGAGCGTAGGGTCCCCATTGCCCTGATGGGGAACATAGCTTCGAAAGACAATTTTAAATGCTCAAGGCTCTCTGAGATCTTGTTTTGTCCTCGATAGTATACGCAGAGGTCTCTTCGAGCATATGGTAGTTCCATCGAATCTCTGAAGTAGCCGTGATCCAGTTGTTCGGGTCCTTCTAATGCAAAACACAAGTCCGCAATGTCAAACATCTCTAAGTTCGAATACACCAATCCAAGCTCCAAAAATAAATACCATTTTTTGATACCAAAAGATACTGGCCCGTCAGGCGGCAAGGGATGCTTCAGAGTCATTTCTATGGCCCTGATACTCTTAATCACATCACGCAGTTCCCCGGCTCCATCCATCTTGGTATGCAACTTTTGTACAGCTGAAATAAGCCTGAGTAGTTGTGTGTCTGGAAGAGGTAGTTCTGGGGTGTAATATTCCACAATGGTCCCAATTAGGAGATACAGAGCTTCATGGTCTCGGTTGAGACTGCCATAAAGGGTTCCAAGGAATAGTTGGAATTTGACTCGCAGCCTAATCTCACCTAGAGGTCTGCAGCCTTCAATTGCTTGCCGATAAGTTGCCTCTGAAAGCTTGAATTCCCCTTGCTTTCTAAAAATTCGTGCTCTGTTGTAGAGACATATCATTGAATTCGTGCTAGAATGTCCGAGTATTCTCCTGCAGTAGAGCTCCACGACAAGAATTGCTACCAAAGCTTGGCTCAGGAGATTCCGCTTTTCGTATTCATTTGCTAATATGTTGAGAGCATGGCCGAAGGCTTTGCAATCTTTTGACTTCTTTCGGCGGAAGATTCGTTCCTCTAAGACTCGCGAAGGGAGAAGTTCCAAGCGTTATCAGTTTTGCAGAAGGAAATGAATTCTATAAATTCTTTCTCCACTGCGGCCAACGAGTTACTGGGGCAAGTGTTACTCTGGAAGCTGCCTTCGGGTGTCGACAATGTGGATATATCTGCTTCGAGATGTATTGAAGGCTTGTCGGCAAGGACCTCAAATGGCGATTCTGGGGATTGTTGCCTATCCGGAGAATTTGGAAACGGGCGGATTCGGTGCTCAATTACTCCATTCTCGTTCAGGTATTCTTCCAAAATCGACTCCGTGAAAGGGATTTCTCGTGCCTGTATCACTGCTGATATTTGAAAAAGTGTTGGGAGTTCGTCATCGCTTGGAAGACCTTCCAACCTTTCCCTTGGATCTGGAACAGGCAATTCTGGGGTCATATAGTCTCCATTCGAACTGACAGCAATTTCCGAGTCCATATGACTACTAGATAAACCCAGATCCGCAATCTCTGGCTCGGATGACTGGGTGTTTGGCACACGTTGAGATTCTATGACGTCTGGTGTGACTGGGAGACGAGGAGTGCCTGGATTATCCTTAGAAGCTACTTCGTGGTCTAGCACGTTCTTTAAAAATGTCTCAGCAATGGTTGTCAGTGCACTGCTTTTAGCAGAAAGGTATTGGGTTAATGGTGAGGGACCAGAAGGCCCCTGAAACGGCGAGGAGCCAGTATTAGAAGCCACCGCTGTAGCGTTGTCCCCGTCTGATGCCAACAGCTCCGAAGGAATCTCTGCGTAATTAGAGCACGATGTGTGATAAGATATGTTTGCAGGTGTTTCTGGGCCATGTTAGTATGTACGAATATGTAAAACATCTGGATCTTGCAACTTGCACGAACCTGCACTCGGTGATACGGGCTCAACATCCTTGGTCGTCTTCCTTCTCTTGAACTGTTCAATCCTCTCTCGTGTAATCGGCGCCTCTCCGTGTAAGATCACAGTCTCTTTGCCCTCTTCTCTGGCCCTCTTCCCAACTTTCGCTGTCACGATGTTCATATCATGGGCGGAGATACTTTTATCAAAATTCCATTCTTTAAGCTTCTGTTTCCACTTGCGCTCACTGTACTCAAACTTTAGCACCACTGTGGTTTTGGCCCATATAGGGTGAATGAACCTTGCTTTGAAACCATGTATCTCAAGAACAGCTCGCATAGTATTCTGCAGAGTATTGTTCTCAGTAATATATATGCGGTAGATTTCCTCCCTAAGTGAGTCCCATTTCTGATCGTTTCGAATTCGGCGGGATGACTTTGGTGGCTCCTTGGTTTGAATGGAAGTTGTTGGAGAGTCACCACACCAGGTCTCTTTTATATCTTTACCTGGCATGGTGTCTAGGTTGCAGCAGTAGCTAAATCAATGGGTTAAAAGAAGATGATGATTGATTTAGTTGCGAAGTGCGAGAAGTTGGGAAACAGGAATGAATTCAACAGAAGATAAAGGTGTCAAGATGCTTAAATACAAGTTGTCGGGCTTGACGAGGCTGCGGCTGTATAATCGACAGGCAGCAAAGTTCTCTCGAAGCGGACCACTGATGCTTTCTAGCAGAAGTGCATTTCAACAATCCCTGGACTTACATGCGCCACCACTGATGCTCTCTGGCAGAAGTACATTTCAATTACACCTGATCTTAGATGTGCCCCTCGCGCAAGCCATGACACGCAGGCCTATGAATTCGTAAAGTAAATTGATATGAAGAGAGCCTTAACTAGGATCAATAAGCATCAACTTCTGTGCATCTCTTGCAAAACGCTCCAATGGTCAAGCTTCATCTGAAGCACTGAAAGGTGACCCATGAGTTACTTCAGTTATAAAACACACTAGTTTTATCGGATTCTCTAAAAGAGAGCAGGTAATTTAGAAAGCTGTTGCGATACAGCCCTTGCGGACCTTGAAAAACCATATACTATAATATTAGTCCAGACTTTGTAGTATTCTTCCATATATACATGATATAGCTAAATGTACATCAGATAGTAAGCCCATCTAGCCCGGGCGAAAGCTGGCTAACGATGACATCGAGGACTAATTTCGCTGAACTATTATACCCGTTAACGAAGCTAGCAAATATTGTTCTAACAGTTCTCTCGGGATTACTAATAACTGCCAAAAAGCGACGCTCAATATACGACTTGACATCCTCTAAACTATTTCCGTTCCCAGTGAAATCAGGACAATACATTTCAATAGGAACCTTTTTGATTTTCGCCTCCAGAATGTCCATTTTCGTAAAGAGGAGGATGATCTGTGATTTCACAAACCACTTCGAGCCAGCAATGGATTCAAACAGCGATAAATCCTCTTCCAGACGGTTACCGTGGAGATCCTCATATAGGCCAAGGTCGTATGCAGATATGTCAACCGCAAAAATAACTATGCTGATGTTCTCGAAGGCATGTATCCACTTTTTTCGTTCACTACGCTCTCCACCGGTATCAGTTAACTTGAAACTAATGCCACCGGATCTCAGTGTGGTGCTATAAAGACCCGTACTTCTGATACGAGCCATGATGACGTCTTCATCTGTCGGGATGTATCCTGGCTCACTGATACGTCTCACAGAGTTGAAAACCCTTTCAGATGCACATTAGTATCGAGAAGTCTCTGAAGGCAGCAATACTCACTATGCAGCAGCGTCTTGGAGTATATATTCATTTGATCTCTCAAAAGTGTGTCTGACCCCCCTATCTTGCCACAGTGCTTCTATTGCTTTACAGACATCTGGAGGGAAGCATCCAGCACCAAGAGCCGAGGGTTGCATCATTATAGTATGAGCATGACTTGTATTGTGGTCATCATTCAGAAGGACCCCGAGCGTATCCATAGCTTCCAAGATGTCTTTCATATTCTGCACCGCATTTGTGAAAACGGCTTCTTGAAACCGTAGACGTTCCTCAATTGTCCAACCTCCTTTGCATAGTGCGTCCATGGATTTGAATAGGGTTGATTTACCGCTGTTGCCACTTCCTACTACTACCACTTTTGGTGGCCGTTCCTCTACCCAGACCTCTGGATCCGGGCCGAGAGCTTCATCCGGTGGCACATCCATGCTGCTATGAACCGTGAAGATTTTTCGTATCCGAGATGTGTTTGAACGCCTTTTCATTCTTTTTGCTTCTAGTTGTTTATCCTTGGCCGCCTTCTGAGATCTTAGTAAGGGTCTGGCAAAATTCGACGCCTGGCCGGGCCTCCCTTCGTCATTTCGCCCTTGAGATTCGAAAGAGAATACAGACGCATCATCCCCTGGCCTGGAATCACTACTCAACATGCTTAGTCGAGAGCTGAACTGATCTACTTCTGTAGTTTGAAGAATAGCACCGTCTGTCTGAAACCATCTTCTAAACCCCGAGAACGCTTGGGGGGATTGGAGTGCTAGTTGTTTGCTTGAAAGGGCCGTGTGAGATGGGCCAGGCTCGGAATTGTGTGGATTCTCTAAGACTCGCCCAGGACTTTTCACAGCCTCAGGGATTGAGTTGAAGCCGCCATGGATATCGCTTGTAAGTTCAGGCAATTTTTCCCTCCGAGTGGCTCTCTGCAAGGTAGACCTAAGTGCAGCCCGGTAGACCCTGGTTGTGACAACCTCCTGATCAAAGTCGAATTCTGTATCCAGAAGGTTAGAATTATCCGTGAGTTTACTCCTCCTCGTATTTTCCGACGCCGAGTCCCTTAATGAGAGTAAGGAAGCTCTATTATCTTCCACGCGCTTGATAATTCGGCGACTTTCATCATCTTGGAGCAATGCGTTGCGCTCAAAAGTAGTCCGACTGAATCGTGTTAGCACTACTCAACTTAAGACCTTGGAACTTACCAATGCAAGGCTGTAAGGAGTAGATTGAGAGCGTTCGCCTGGTTGTTCAGGTGATTTGAGAACTCTTTCAAGTCGGACTCCTCCCACAAAAATTCAACTTTGCCCTTAACGTTCAAACTCCCACTGGTATCACGCTCAAGTTGCGAAATGCGCTCCTCTAGCACCAGAATCAGGAGCTTGCAGCTCTCTAAGGATGTTTTGAGATCCGCAACAACTTGTTCATTCTTGGGCGTGTTGAACAGGCTTGAACCAGCCCACTCTGTAATCTGATTCACAGCAGCTTTGAGAGTGGTTAGCTGTCCGATGAGGAGACTGACAACAAGGCTGGCGCTTCTGTATCGGGATTGGAGGTTAATTAGGCGGCGTAAGCTTTTTGCAATGATATCGCTGATTCCCACAAGCGACTCAGCAAGGCCGATTACTGAGATAGGGTCCATCCTTACTCTCGAAGAGTCTGATATGGTGGTTGAAAACAATGCTTATAATATCTTTTTGCTCATCCCATTGCTGCGCTGGCTGCACAGCCTCAGCCCAGCGCCCAGCCATCAACTACTGCGCCAGGCTGCAGTATGATGAACCAATCGGTCATATCGTTCGTGAAATCGAACACTGGCATTTTTTAAATACGCCTTTTACTAGTTTTATTACACCCCTATTCAAGGTCTACTAGAGTATAGATATAATAGCTTAAGTAGCCATAAGATTGAATATTCTATATCTCTTAGTAAAGCGTTATAAGTAGGTTGTTTACGGATTTGTTTCTCCTTCCGGTGAAGGACGTGAGTATTGAGGCAAGAAGCAGCGGGGAGAAGAAGGAAACAAAATGATTTTGAAATCTTAAGCAGTAAAGCAGGTAGAAAGTAGAAAAAAACTCGAAGTTCCTGTATTATATGCCCCTATCTCCTGCTTGTTAAATTTCTACCTAGAACAAACTGTCCTAGTGCCGTAATTTTTCGCCATGAGACGGGCATTCTAGGATTGGTTTCTGAAGTCTGAACAGAGATAGCTTGTATTTCCTATTTCAGCATATGTGGAATCGCCGTTCCCAAGGTACCTAAGGTAGGTAGGTAGGTACTGTAATATTCAGATATCTTACGAAACGTCCTCAACACTCAACCCCTTCATCTTCCCCTCAACACCAGCATCCAACAACCCCCTTCTCCACTCCCAATAATTCCTCCTAATACGATCATACTTATCACCCAACAACCTCAACGCCGTATCCGCCTTGGCCGTCTCGTCCTTCTCAGCCCAAACATCAGCCAAGAAATCCAGCGCATGGCTACTCCGAACATCCTCGCCCTCTCCACTTTCACTAGGAAGCTTAACAAACTCCTCTGCAAAGGCCTCCAAACTGGCCAACTCCCTCCCCGCCTTCCTTAAAACGCCCCGGATATAATTCCACGGACTCTGATTCTGCGGCGCCTCGAACGTTGCTGCCTTCGCGAACCCAATCTCACGATCCGCAATATCCGCTGGGATTCGTGGATCGTGCGCCGTAGCAGCGCTGCCTGGTGTGCAGTACGCTGGGTCTGAGAAGACGACGAAGAAACGGTGGGACCACGCGCTATTGTTCCGGACGTCGCTGCGGAGGAGCACTTCGATGGATTGGAGCTCGGTGGTATTGAAGAGGTTGAGTTTGCGGACTAGGTATTGCCGGTAACTCCAGACGTGGTAGTTTTTGGCGTCCTGATCGAACATCTGCGTCATGAAGTCGCGTTCGGAGGTCTCGAGGGCGTGGATGGCGGTGGGGTCGGAGGATATGGTCGGGTATAGCGTGTCGATTAGGAGTTGGCGGTGGTGCCAGATTTGGTAGTTCTTCTGGTTCTCTAGAGCTACCTCGTTGACCCATGATAGTTCTTTGTCGATGGGATATTCCAGCGCGAAGAGTGTTGAGGCTCGGTATAGCCATACGGTGTAGTGGGCGGCGTTCATGGATATGATGTGCTCGGTGAGGTCCAGCACGCGGGGGGAATGCTCTTTCGCGGCCATGACGGCTCGGAGGTAGCCCATAGCTGGAGAACAGTGTTAACAAAGGTGTACGAAACGTAGAGAAAATCGGGATGTACCCTCGGCATATTCATCTGAATACGCAATAGCAGCCAAAGCCCCCTCCCCATCATCCTGGGGAATGGGCACTACATCATCCCACCTCGGATCACCCTCATAAATACCCATTTTCTTGCCCTGTAACACTCCTATAAACTTCCTTCTATTCCTCTCGTCCTCTATCTCACCCTCACTATCTTCAATCCCGCGCCCTTTTTGCTTCCTTCGAGCTTTCTCCCTCCTTTCTCTAAACCTAGCACTCTCCCTCCTCAACCCACTTAATTGCCGCTCCTTCTTCCGAAACTGCGCAAACCCCTCAGGAGTATAACTCGCAATCTCCCTGCCCTTGTTATCTCTCCCGAGATCTCTAGGCAGCGGGAGCGGCGTCGGGATCTTTTGCGTCTCGACGGTTTTCAGGAATTCCTTCTGTTGCGCCGCGCCCCACGTCTTCCAGACGCCCGTCTCGAGGAATCGGTAATTCGCGTAGGCCGCCTTTTCAGATGCGGATAGGTTTGAGAGCCCTTTCGTGTCTTTGAGCACTTGATATGGTCGTGAGGCTAGGTATTCGGCTTGGAGTTTGGCGCTGATGGTGGGGTCTGTTTGGCTGCGTGCGTTAGTATGGGTGTTATTCGTGAACTGTAAAGAGGGGGTTTGCTGGGATCAAAATGCTGCTACGTACATTCTTCTGGAGGATCAGGAGCTTTGGGTTGAGCTTTGGGAGCTTTGGGGGCCTTTGGGGCCATTTTATGTTGTGGTGGGGGTTGCGAGCACAAAGGGGTGTTGGAAGAATGCCAGCCCGCAGCCTCGTATGTCGAGAACAATACTAAGCGCCCACAGATTACGAACACAAAGTTAAAGGGGTCGACGGATTGGGACGAGGAGTTATTTACAGGAACAAGCAGCTAGGCTTGTGAAACTAGTGTTAAAACAGATTATTACTGATAACTAAACTGTAAAAACGCATGACGCTCCCTATTTCTACATTGAATTTAATGCCCTCCCTTGTCCTAATCAGCCGGTTTTGTACAGCCCGCTGTTGCCAGCATATATTAGTTTCTAACTTTCTACTCTCCAAAACTTCCAAGCTTCCCGATCCCCACTCTCTCCTTGGACCCCGACAAGCTCTTCAACCCCTTCGATGCCGTCAGCGTTCAAAAACTTATCTTGATCGATCTCTTCACCGCCTTGGTCATCCTCGATTCCGTTCTTGAGTACAGCTGGCCAAAGAACACCTACCCCATCACAACCCAATGTAGTCTCGAATTTTTTAAATCCTTCTCGGTCAAATGTATCTTCTAACCGTTGCAACCTCTCATGAGAGATGCCCGGCTTGAGAAGAGTGATTGCACAACCGCCTCCACCAGCACCGGTGAGTTTTGTCCAGCCAATTCCTTCATGATCAACCAATTCCCGTATCCGTTCAAGTCGAGGATGTGAGACACCTAGAGCGACTAGAAGCCCATGATTAATAGTCATCAATTTTCCTAATTCCTCGAGACTTGATTCTTCGGTACTGTCAAAATCTTCATATCCAATTAAGGCGGCCGCGCCCTCTGTAACTTTATCGATGGCGTTCAATATCGACTCGGTGATGTGAGGGTGTGCTTTCTTCAAAGCACCGACCTTAGCCACCTCTGCTGCGGTAGATTTTGCTTGTTTAGTATCGACAAGAAGAAGAGGAAGCTCGGGGAAGTTCCATAAGGGCTTGACTGTAGGTGGTTTCGAGTAATCATGTCTTTGGAACACGACAGCCTTTCCTTGTGTCGCAACGGTGTTGTCGACCCCCGAGGGATTCCCATGTATGCACATTTCTCCTACAAATGCCCACCTGTTTATACGTTCTACCTGAAGACGCGCCTCTTCAGAAGGTTGATCGGGATGTGGTCCTGAGAGCGTGCGAATTTGCAGCAAGAGGGCCGCAGCTAGACACACCGAGACGGACGCGCTACTACCTAAACCGGCGCCAATTGGTATGGTCGAACGGAGGGTATACAAGCATCCTGGGAATGATTGCGAACCAAGAGATAACAACAAGTATAAAAATGCGGAGGCGGTATTCTGGTGAACTCTGCGTACATCTTCCGGTAATTCCTCCGAGACATTGGCCAGATGCGGTTTCATCGCAGCAACGAGGTCAGGGTCAAGCTCAGTAACTAGGTCGTAATATGACTTCTTCTTGGAAGGGTGAGAGAAAGTGCTCCATGGTAGATCATCGATATCCCAGGTATGCGAGAGGTTGATGTCCGGGAAACGGAGGGAGATGGTCCGTTTGGATTTCGAGAGCGCGGTAACAAGGAGATACGATCGCAATGAGATAGCTGCGGCAATAGCTGCCTAGATAGAATTGAACATGTTAGCATCTGAAGGACGACTGCGAGACCATTCGTCTTTGGTATGTCATCACTTCAACGTACCTTGCCGTGAACAACTGCATGTTCCCCGAACACAATAACCTTCCCAGGCGCGGAAACCATAAAAGGGGGCATCATGGGCGAGGACTGCTTCCGTTTATCCGCCATTGTCCTATGCTGTCGCGAGCTGTTGCCATTGAGCTTCGCGGAGGCCATACCGTTGGTGATACCATTGACACTCGTGTCACCCTTCGTATGGGATGGCATGTTGAGTGATGACGAATCTGATGCGGAGGAGGTGTCAGACGGCGTGTCGATTACTGCCTCTGAGGTGGAAGTATTGGTGGTGCTCGAAGACCGGGAATACGGTTTCTCGTCCTTTGTCTTGCTCTTTCTTCGGAAAAGCCTCCTTGTGCGGCCAGTCATTGCATACCCTCTGGTGCTCTCTCTTAGACTGAGCGCATGGCTCCTCGCGAGGAAGGCGGCGTGAAAGGGGGATATCGGAGGAGATAAGTAGGCAGACAGGTATATAGAGAATGTGCCCTTTCGTACTGTGCCTGTGTCTGTTGATTACGACGATGGGTTTCCCGCGACGAACGAGGAACGATTCCGACCCGGAGCCTTCAGTGCGATTTCCCATTTCCCCTTCTGCGCCTTCCACTTTCCTGTATGGGGGCGATCTAGTCCGGTTCCTTGCCCCATGGGGAATAGCGCTGCATCCCTGGCCGCGCCATCCATTTGGGCGGGATTTGCCAGGTTTAATAGATCGATCGCTATTGGGTGGATGTATATGCGCATAAACATCTGTACATGTACGACGTCAGTGTCGGGGATTGATTCAATATCATATCAGTAAATCAGTAATTGATACTGAAACAGCCTACGCGTAGGAAGACAGCCTGGAGAATATGAACAAAAACACATAAAGTTGCGGAGTACTCGAGTAGTTGGCGATGCACCTAGATAAGTTGATTGATAACAATAAGCCCCTTTTTCATGCTAACAAGCTAAGACTTGCTATTAGGGCCTAGACTTCAACTCTCCAACTCTCTAAGCCGAGCCATTGGCTCTTGTTACTGCCCCAATTACTATTCTATCAACAACTACTACGTACCGCTAGTACCATAGAAGTATACTAGCAAAATCTGCACAATGGAAATCCATCGTATTTGTAATAGTTGGCGGTGACAAGCAGTTCGGCCGAGAGATCGGTTCCCGCGATGAGGTTTGGCGACGAAGTGCGAATTACGTCGGTCCACGGAGTATAGAAAGGATAAAGATGGCCTGCTTCATACGTAGTACTCCGTACATATCTATATGCATGCGAAGTACAGTGTCTCCGGGTCGCCCATATGGGCTGATATAGAAGGGGTAGTATCCACGATGCGTTGGCGAGGCGAGACATTCTTAAGGAAACCTGTAACCGTCGATCGAACTAGTATAGGGTCGCGGTCGGTAGCACTTAAACCTCCAGGAACTTCAAGAACCTTCGGATTAGCAGAGGTTGATATAAGTTGGCATTATACCGCAAGAACGGGAAATAATAAATAGAACAGTGTTATACAGATGAACCCTAGCGACTGACAGCCCAGTCTGCGCGCGTAACAAATATGACTCGAGAGTCAGTGGCCCTCCAAAACTCCCATAGAGATCCCATCCAGTTTACCTATCCAATCAGTCCACATCCATAGCTCCCCCATCAGTGACATCTTCCTCCGTCTCATCCCCAGGAAGTCCCAGCAACGCCTTGTCAACATCGTCAAGATCCTCGTCCCCATCATCTTCAGCTTCGCTGCCAAGACCTAAGATCTCTTTATCCATATCGTCGAGACCCTCTTCACGCTTTGCTGGAGCACTTGTATTTCGACGTCCCTTTTTGGGTTTGGCTGTGCTCTCCGGGGGTCGCTCATCCTCCGTCTCATCATTGCCGGGACGAGCAGCGTGGCCGTTGGCCACAGGAGTTTTGGGGGCCCCCATACGGCCAGTGCCGACGACGCCCAAGTCCTCCTGACCGTCCCAACGATCAAGCCTTCTCCCCATCCTCCGGAACGCAGCAGCATACGCCGACATTTCCTCACCAAAATCATCTTCCTCGCTCGCGAGTTGCACAAGGCCCCCGAAACCCCTTTCCCTAAATGGTGCAGGGGGTTTGAGCAGGCTCTCCTCGCCCTCGCTGTTCTCAAAAGAATCGGGCATCAGTTCTGTCCTCCTCAACGCGCGGAAAAAGGCACCTTCTTGTTTGCGAATTTTTCGGGCGCGATGATGCTGCTTTCTTAGACCTCGACTTAGGATATAGTCAACCCGTTGGTTTCGATTCCGCTCCACGGCCAGTTGGTGTGCTGTGAGGGGTCTAGAGCGTCTAACCGAGACGACAGCCTCGGGTTGCGGTACGGGGGACGACCCTTCAGCAAACTGATGTTTTAGAGAGCCCCTACCCCTTCCACCAATGCGCATACTGCCGCCAAGGGCTCGAGGTGGCGGTGTGGAGCGAGTACTATCAATATCAGATTCGTATTTAGGTCGAATCCGGCCCATCATGGACATCAAAGTTCCGCTCATCTCATCAAATTTTGGCCGTGTTCGACTTATCGAGGCGGCTGGGCTGGGACCGCCATCATCCGGGGGTAGTTGAAGTTTTGGTTTGGGACCCCGTTTTGGTGGGCCTTGCTCAGCTTGAAATGCAGCTTGGTCTGCTTCAATAATGCGCTTCCTCTCCCGCATCTTTGCGTGTCCATAGTCAAGCTCCTCTTGCGTGTCTACGTTTTCCTGCGCTTCTTGCTCCTCCGTTAGCATTTCAAGCTCCGGAACGCCTTGATTTCTGACCTGGACGCCATAGTCAACACCAGCGCCAAATGGGTTCTCCTCAGCGCCCTCCTCGGTGAAGTCGGACTCCAAATAGAACCACATCAACCATAGGAATGCACGCGCCCTTGATACGCTTGATATATTTGTTCCCATAATCAAATCGAAGAAATCGCGAGGAGGCGGGAAATGTAGCTCCGTGGCTTTATGAGCGAATTGTGCAATGACGAATATAAGATTCACTGGATTCGTTCGTGGGACATCCTGTGCCTTGATCTTGTCCAGCGTGTTGGGCTCTGGTCGATCCTCAGAGGCTCCCTTAAGGATCGATTTGAGTCGAGGCGCATCTTGAAGTTGCTTGTATGAATTCGGATCTTGACGTGCTTGTAATGAGGGAATAGCATGGTAGGTTCGGAGCTGTGCTCGCATTTCGGGAAAGACTGCAATAAAACGATATTAGTACATCTAGATTGAAATAAAATAAATCCACGTACAGTTCAACGTAGTGTTCATGCGACCCAAATTCACCAGAAGACAGACCATGGCCATGTTCTTCGCCGGCTCATGTTCCGTCAAAAGCTTATCCCGCAATATCTTGCTGGTCTTGCTACTCCTAGCCATAGCATCGATGTACAAATCCGCAAAGGTCTGTTTGCCGATATTTTCCGGATCGTAGGTATTTGTAAAGCACGCCGTCTCATCTTCGAATATGATCTTGAGGAAGTCGTACTGGATATCTTTTCGCCATAGGGGCTCCCCATCGTCCTTCTTGAGATGCCGCACTTTGTTCCCATGATAAGTTAGGTTATGGATTCCATTTCCTGTCCCGGCCTCCTTGCGCCTCCGAGGGGCACTGGTGGTCGTCGTGGATGGAGCCTCCGCAGGGGTTTCCGTCCTGCTAGGCGTTCTGGCCTCATCGTCCTCCGTCATGTCGGCATTGAGCTTAGATGCTGAAGCGGAGGGGGTGTTCTGCTGAGAATCGGAGTTCTCGAGGACGTGCCGTAACGTGGTTCTCGGATCCAGGCGCGCCGGCGAGGGAGGTTGCGGCGTGATCTGCTCATCCATCTCGGACGCTCTGCCATCCGCCTCCTCAATCGTGGAGCTCGGCGAACGCGACCGTACGCTGGTGTCCGCCATCGTGTCGAGTCTTTTGCTTCATCGACGTAATGATATCATGTCACGTAATCCTTCGCGATTGGAGTGCCTCCCTCCTAGCTGCTGTGTTGGGGCCGTGCGGACAAAAATGGACGTTTGACGGATGAAGGAATTATTGGTTCGTTGTGGCTGGTGGTTGGAGGTTTGGATTGGGTGAGGGCGCGATACGGAGTATCAGGATTTGAGATGTTTGTTGGCTGCTGATTGGAGACCAAACCTCAACCTTGGAGAGCAGCTTTGCTTGGCCTCGCTATTTCTGGCAGCCCTACGTAGCAGGTCAACCGGCCAACCCCCTGAACAACACCTCGTCGAATTGCCCCCCTAATTAACGGCCATTTGCTACGTGGGATTTCCCCAGCTTTTTCACCGCAAACACGACAAAAGAAACATTTCCTCATTCCGGCTGTATCCATCCCGGGACTTTGCCCAGGAGCGTCTCAAGGGTGGGGATCCTCTTTACCAAGACTTTAAGAGCCTTCAAGAAAGCCTGACTCCTGGTCCCATTCAATAGCGGTCCGACATATGCACCCTGAACCCCATTTCTGAGCTATTTCCGACCCATCATGTCGATCCATTTCCCAGCTTCATAAATTTCTAAAGCAGCCATTTCAGCCACCTTTCAGCCATCGGGTGGCCGGGCTTCTGATACGCAGTTTGAATTTTGCAGCCTTAAAAAAGGACTCTGGAATTCTGAATCAGTCACCACCTACCCGGATCCTTTTCAGCCTCGAGCTTCCCCGTGCCCTAGCCGGCATGCGACATTTACGAAGTTGCGAATAAAGTTCCCCTGAGCGTAGAGTGAAGCAACTAACATGCACCAGGGGTTCTCCTAGACCCCTGTTTTCACGTTTTGTGACGGGCAATGGATCCCGCGTGTCTCTTTTGAGTGTTTCGAGATGCTCCTTTGCATCTCCCCTGTCGCCGTTTTTCTCAAGATGCCATGCCATATTCTACCGTGGCCTTGCAGATAACGGCGAAGCCGAGCTTCGGAATACTTGCTGTGTTACTGGACTTTCAAGGGAGTGTTCAGGTTGAAAAAACGTGCGCATAAGCAGCTCTTATTGGGTGAAGTTTATCTATAGTACAAGTAGAGCTGAGGTATTGGCACTGCGGAATACGAGCTTAGAAAATCCTCCAGTTTGAGGAGATCCAAGTTCAACACATCCCATGCCAAGTTCTAGAGTGGTATCCCGAATGCCCGACAAAAAAAAGACCCAAGAACTGAGAAGCGTGATACACACCGGAGACCGAACACATGCTCCTAAAAATTTGCAAGAAGCAGATCCCTCCGTCTAAATGCCCGCATTCTCCACTGGCTGGAATAAAATCATGAAATCTATGCTTTAACCCCCATTATCACACGTGTGTGCCCGAGAAACTGGTCGGAGAGGAAATGGTTCGTAAGGTCGTTAAGTCGTAAAAAGGCAATTAAAAAATCCACGGCCGTTTGGCCGTTTCGTCCAGTGTCTTTCACCCGTGTATTTGCTGGTGATACTCGATTACTAGCGTGAGTAACCACTTCCACTACCACTGCCGTAGTCGTAATACGCTCGATCTCCTTCATCGTAGTATGTCGAGTCTCCCTCGTAGTAGCCGTCTCTCTCGTCGTAAACTGGACCCCGGGAATCCATATCTCTTCTGGATCCTCCTCTTCGGGACTCCGATTCTTTCGCTTTCCCTTTAGTAACAACGTGCTTCAAGGAAAGTGATCCCCACGGAAGGCCAGAGAGCTCGTCATCTGTTCCCATCTCATTTGGATCTGGAGTATTGTAGGAATGTCCGGCATGGACTCGGTTTTCGGCGTCTCTTGCCTGACGTTCCTTGGCGTCTTTGGCCTTATCTCCTACAACGCATTTCTAGTCAGTTTAATCTCAAGTGTAGTTTAAACAGAGACCTACGGAATTTTCTCTGTGCAATTCGATTCTGAACGCGTCTTCTCTCCTCAGGGTCCGTGATATCAGACCAATCGTCCGTCTTGGCAGACTTTGACCTGGAGGATGATGAGGAAGAGTGTTTCCCCTTGGAGGAAGAGCTGGAATGGTATGAAGAGCGGTGGGAGGAGGACATCTCGGTTTCTGTATCTGATGATGATTCTGGGACGACTCGATTCTGATCTGGATCCTCGATTGTGATGCTGGGAATGTCACGAGCTGGCTGCTTTCCGGTGGACTTTTGAAAGGCTTTGTCCTCATGTGACTCTGAGTCCCTATCAAATTTAGTTTAGCTCGCCTAAGACAAGTGGAGGAATTGCTAACATCTACCATGTGAGATTGGACTGGGCGATTTTGTGGTCTATAGACGTTCTTGGGAAGACTGGAGACCATTCGGCGATAAGGMGGCCAGTTGACTAAGAGACTGTTGATCCGAAACAAGAGACCACTTTGATACTTATATAATTGGAATGGAATTTAGGGGTACATGAATAGACAAAAAGGCACATTCGATTGTGGAGAAGCACTTTGCACAGACGGAGAGATTTCCAGAGAGAATGGAGACACTTAAATAGGTTCATGAGCTAAGGTGGGATACATATCGGGAAACCTTCATGTCGATGGAAAGCTTAAGCACCGCCCCCAACCCGACAACTGCTCTGGGATGGGATGGTGGTTCCGGAGAACGTGATGAAGATGCGCATACCACCTTGCACCTTACACCTTACCGTGCTCAAACAAGCCAAACCGGTTGTGGCAACCTTAGCCCTTCCCGTGGTTCGACAAGGCAGCCTTAATCCTAATTGCAAATGCAATCGGGCGTGGTAATTGGCGCAGAGGGCAGATGACTTGGACTGTTGTTAAGCCTTTGGAGAATACGGGACGGAATGCGAGAATCCTGGTAGAGGGCTGCAACGGGGCCACGAGAGCGGTGGGGGGGGGNGGTGAAAGGGGAGGGGGTGGGCCCTGGCCATATTTAGGTTGACGGAGAGATAGCGCGCGGTAGGAAGGGGAGGAAGGGACCAGGAATAACCATAACCATAATATGTATGGATGGAGAGCCTGAGGAGTGGGCACTTGCTTCGTGCTAGGGCTTTGGAAGGAGAAAAAGGAAGAGGAAGAGTCGGGGCTGGGCACCAGGATCTAGGGTCCCCCGTCCTGGAGTTAGAGAGCGATAATGCTAGACATCGATCCTATGATTCAGATTCCGGCTCACGATTCCAGGATTCCAGGACCTGGGACCTAGGACGCGAGTCAAAAGCAAAACATTGATGATTGAAGCTGCCAGAGGACGCGGCAGGCCGTGTAACGCCCACGCAGAGACCACGATGTTCCTGCATATGGATCAGGCATCCACCACCAACTTGCCAGTGAGGACGGTGGCCGTCGTGACTTATGAGTCTTTGGCCATGTCCAAGAGATTGGGTGCGTATAGCACGCGCAGTCATCTGCCCCGATGACGCATACTGGCGTGCCAAGCGGCTGAAGGGCGCGATGACAACAAGTCTGGGAGAGCGGAATATTTTGGAAAGAGGTGGTCTTGGGATCAAGACTAATAGCCCCGATGCGAGGAAGAGCGACCAGGAAATGCCTATTAATTAGCAACATTACCCACCAATGAATCTTGTGGTACCTACAACAGAGGTAGAGAGTGGCTAAAACACGGGCAAACGCACTGCTGGCATACCGAACCGTACCATGCGTACAGCACATGTACAGTACTACTCTGTACGTACGTAGGACTGTACCTACATCGCGGTGGGGCTGGTAGGGCTGATCCCTGGGCTTTCTCCGGAACAGAAACTATTGTATGTAATGTGACGGATATAACGAATTCCAGAAGGACGAGAAGAAGAAGGGCGCTCGCTAGCAGGCAAGCCGAGGTACGACGCGTACAAGTACCTTTGATTGCTGCCTTTGGCACGCGCACATGCCACACGCAAACGCAAGGCCAAAGCCAGAGCCAAAAGCCAAAGCTAAAGCCAATGCTAAAGCCAACGCCAATGCCAAAGCCAAAGCCAAAAGCCAAAAGCCATAAAGGCAGGGGGACACATTGCTTGACTAACAGACCGCTTTGCTCTGGCTGCCAATTCTTAAGCTTAAGTTCTAGCAACGCCCGCTATACCGTTATACGAGCCCGTCTCCAACCGGCTCTCGGCGCTCTCATCCCCGATAGCCAATCTGACTGACAAAGGCCGTGGGGTGTCGCGGCGGGTTGCGAGTCCTGGCGACGTAACTAAGTGTTAGTGCAATGATCCGGAGGTACTGCTACTGTACATGAAGATGTATATGGACTACGTACAGAGCAGGAGGGAGCGAGCGACAGCGTCATAGCGATCCCTGCCTGAACGGCCCTGCGCTGAACCCGAACCGTGAACGCTGGACGTTGGAGCAGGATGAACGCTGGAGCTGAGGCCGCTGAGACCACTGAGACCGCTGCAGACCGCTGGAGCCCAACGGAAACGGCCAAACCACAGGTCCATTCAAAGGTTATTATTAGTACACTAGAGTAATGGTGGGGTATTGTCTCCCCGATTTTCTCCCCAAACCATCCAGTCTGAGCGTCCGCCGAAGCATTTATTATTAATCCCCTTTCCCAACTTGCTTTGGTAATCTCGCTTCGTCCCTATAGTACCATCAGAGACGAAAGCTATGATTCACACGAACGCCAGCTGACGAAAAGTCAAAAGTCTGAATGGCGTCGGATAGGATGGTATACGGTCCCGGCATACCTGCCTCCCTACGTATGTAGTACGAAGTCAGCAATGGGCAAAAAAACAAAAAGGGCAATCAGTCGATTACCCTCTGAGGTGGTTCGCCAAGACCGCCGGGAAGTCATGGAGGAGCAGCTGAATTGATGTTAACTCGGTCGCCAGCGGGGCGATCGTCCCAACCCACGGTGCCGCAGTGCCACTGTCAGTACCTATCCCTCCCGCGTGCATGATCCTGATCCCTCCCGCCATGGGAATTAAAGTAATTAATCGGATGGAGCATTCCTAATTCCTACTATCTTTGCCCTACTGCCCGGGCCGAAATCGTTCTTTCAGCTCAATATGCATCTGCAGCCTTACGACCGAAGGCTTCTGGAATCCCCACGGAATGCAATTTCTCGGAACGCTTGACTGTCAGAAGAAAACTTAAAATACTTCAACTATACATGCGATGCATTGCCTGCAAAACATAATCTTACATTGACGACCTCTCGTGGCCGCTCATGACCTCTACCTGTCGCTCCGTCTCGCCTCTCCTCGTCTCTTCGCTCGTACCTCAGCCTGTCGGCGCTCTCCACCATCAATCTTACGCCCTCTTTTGTCTTCCCACATACCCTCCGTCGCCTCGACCGTGTAATTCAACCTCCCCTTCGCTGGCCGCGCGCTAGGTCCCTTCATTTCGTGTGCACCCTTAACTCGGAAGCCCTTCGGCCGGACGAGCTCCTCTGGCAATACCGACCCGGGACCACCGAATGATGCAGGCACATTGACGACCATTCTATTCATCTTTACTGAAACCCTGCCATCATGTTCTTGTCCGGTCGGTTCAGACAGCTTCACCACGCGTAGCTTTGCCACCCCATTTTCAACGTATTTAAGGTCTCCCCCAGGTCCATATCGTCCTTCCCTAAATTTCTGCCGCCAGTCCAAGAGGTATCGTCGCGATCGGGGCTCCATACCCAGCTCCTTGAGTTCGTCCGAGGTAATAGTGAATAGATAGTTCCACGAACGTATTTTCGAGGCATATTGGCTCAAATCGCGTCCGATGAGTTTAAGGAAGGTTTTCGTATCTGGTACAAAAGGTATTGGCGGTGGTATTGGACCAGGCTGAACGGTTGTGTGAAGACATCGTGCTTGCGAGGATGATTGAGCGAACGAGAGGAGGGACGACGAGATCGGGCGCAATTGCTGCGGTCTGAGAATCATGGTTGGCAATGGCTGCGGTAGGTATTAGCTTCTAATGCGATCAACGCATCCAGGTGACTTACCATCCACCCCTAGGATGCTAATACTCGCTGCGATTGAACGTTGTTGTCGTTAAAATTGGAACTTTTGAGGTTCGGTTAAGGCGCTGCTAGCAAATGGCTGGGTGTACCACGGAATCTTCCGAGGGCCAAGCGCGAATCGAGTCACGTGCTATAAGCTCCCAATTCAAAAGTGGATAGCACGAGATGAACGCCCTCTTTTATGTATGGGTTTTAACATTCCAATTCAAAATAGAAAAAATAATCTACAGTCTTAACAATTGTCCTATAAATCACGATATTTTTGATATTTTCTGGTTTTCAAGGTGATCTCAGTGGGCTGTGATTTAAGGTACCTAGGTACTTATCTGGGTATATTGCCAAGGTATCAATCATCACGCGGTCTTGAACTTCGCTTGTCTATGACCGTCAATTTCGACTAAGTAAGCTTACATTGCATCTTTTCCAGCGTTCTTGTCATCCGCAGATTCGTGACTGCCGCTTGTGCTCCGAATTCATCATTGTGTGCCCAGCCATCCATATGAATATTAAGATGCGTTGACAGACGCAATAGCTGAAGCTTTCAGTTGTTCGATGTTGACCAGTTGATGTCGTGGTGAGAGCTGCTCTGCCTCGTTCCAAAGCCACCCGACCAAAAGTGAAATTAATGTACTTGAAAAAGACATCGCTATCGCGATGACATCCAGTGAGCGATTTCATCCGTTTTATGGCTAGGGAAGTCTTAATGGCACTATCTTGAGGAGATCGTGAAAGCCCAGGGGATGTCGAGAGGACAGGCATAGGACTCACGGTCCGAGGAGCCGAATGATCGACCCAGATAAGCCATTCCTTAACGGCATTGCACGCATACCTCCGTGGATTATAGTAATTTGGTAGCGTGATAATACGGAGGGCCCAAGATCTTCTTCCGATCATCTCAATGTCTGAATTAATTTTGGAAACTGTGTCTTGTTTTCGATATATTCAGGGGTAATAACGTTGAACATGATTGTCAGCTAAACCTTCTCCCTTCAGATCAGGAACAGCGTTGCAACTCATAGACTGCTATCATTGGCCAGAAAATAGTTGACTATGAATAGGAGGGTCTAGCCAGGATTGGGCTCACTCTCTCCCGGGGAGAAGGAGATGGTTGCTATGTTTTGCTTTTGAGACTAACAAGTAGGATTAGATTGTGCTATGGCAGGTGGTGGCAAAGGTTGAAGTCTCGGCCACCGCCCATCTGGATACTATAGCAAACTAGGCACCTACCTAGGAAAGTAAGGCAGCGCAGCAAATGTGGCCCAACCATGCATTTTCGCCGTAATTTATCAGGTACAGTACATCGTCATGTGAATATTTTTTCTCGAACCTGACCTCGAGCACCCTCCCTCTAGGCATTCTCGCTCCTTGAAAGGTGGATTTTCCTGAATAGGGCCGAGTGTTTTTCAGTGTCAAGGTCGGTTGCCCCCACCCCTTTCTACACCTTTTTTGGAAGCGATACCGAGGGGTTTAAGGAGTGCAATAGGTGTTGCAAAATGCAACTTCACAAGTTTCGTCTTCCGCACTAGACGTTAGGAGCGATGGTTCCGCCACCTGTTCTTGGATACGGAGCTTGGGAAATACTCGGCCCAGGTTTTCAATCAAAGACATCGTATAGTCGCTGCTATCATGCTCCCGCCGAGCCAGGCAATGCACAGCTTGTAACACGATATATGTTGCCTATAATGGAGACTTGTGGGGCCTTATTATTATGATTAGCTTGGTTCATGTAAATGTATTGGGCGTAGAATAGGGGAGATTTCGTACGGGGCGCTTATAGATTACGTTAACTGGTTTAATTAATCTTGGATTAAGCTCTCTAGTGACTTAACATCCCAACCATGCGCCTGCCGTATGTCGAAACTTCTATTTGGCCCATGCTCCACTTGACTCTATCGAAAACTCTACTCGGTCCATGCTGCGCTTGACTCTATCGAAAACTCTACTCGGCCCATGCTGCTTGACTCTCTACGAATCAATAACTCTAGGAAGGCCATGCGCTATCCGAGATCCCGGATTATCAGAAGTCCCATAGTGTGCCGAATGCGTGTATTCCAGCTAAGTATCAGAGGTTAGTGAGTTAGTGAGTTAGTGAGGTTAGTGTGGTTAGTGGTTTGTCGGTAGATCGGGATTCTGATGTACGTACCTGCACGGCAACCTTGCATCATCTCATCATTGCCCTTCATGTTGGAGGTAATGAATATAACCTCGGCTCCAAAGCTCGTCCACGTGTCTTTGAGGAGTTTCATGGTATCCGGTCGTCCTCCTCGTTTCTTCGAGTCCCAGAGGATCATTCTCTCTGGCTCGATGTGTTTGTGGATTAGCCCCGTTATCGTTGGTCCAAAGGTATTCTCTTGATCAGAGCCTATCCAAATAAGGAACCTAGCAGAACGTCAGAAGAAGGTTCCTAAAAAGTGCCTAAGAGCGGCGTACCAATTTGGGCTCTGGATGCAAGTGGATAGCGCTGCCCCTATACCGGTTCCCGTGCAGATGCGAATTCCTCTCTTAAACATCGAGGATGCATGCCCAACCCCAGCTATTATATATTAGTGGATGGCTATTTCAGAGATGAGAGAACGAGCATACCAAACTTCAGCTCCCTAGTCCACACGGCTTTCGGTGGATCGGCAACAAGACTCTTCGTAAAGTCGCCTTGAACACCGCAGATCATATAATGATACGGGGATTTCCGGCCCTCGCTAATGATTCCAAAGGCGTGGTACTCCATGATCGAGGTGCGACTGATTCTCCCTAGGAGACCTTGCTGCATCCCGCGGTCGAAACGGATAACGGCGACTTTGGGCGATGGCTAAAATTGTGTGTTAGTCGATTTCGAGGAAGAAACCCTGGAGCGCTGAGAACTCACAATTTCAACTTCCACGGGGACCTCTCGAAGGGTAAGCCAAGGGATGAGGATACTAGAGAGCATGAGTAATAGTAACCAGACAACTAGAGTAAAACGTACAATATTGTCATGAACACGGCAAGCCAAAGCTCCTGTGCGCTGAGTAAAGAATTGGTACCGGCTCTCCATTGCCCACGTGTTATATCATAGGAATTTCCCAAGATCACGAAGGCCCAGGTGGCCTAGTATTTCTTAGTACCGGTCTTGAGGTTGGATTGGGGTGTACATACCGCTAGACCCAGCCATCCAATAAAGCGATGGTGTCTCTCAAATGTGTTATGATGGTAGCTAATTAAGGAGTCAGTTACCGAGATATCCAACATGGAAATTGAGACACTGACTTGCGAACCCATGGATAGGCGCTTAGGACGGAAATGATTATAAGGCAGTTTGTGATTACGCCGGTGACAATCACAGAACTGTGCTGAACGGCGTGATGCCGTATGATGTCGACAATCTTGAATACTAGCCAGCTAAAGACTCTGTTAGTCCTGCTCGCCACTGGTTACAGGATTGACTTACGCAGCGCCAGAGAGTGCGCATCCCGAATGGAGGCCTCCGACGTGTTGCAAAATCGACGTTGCTGCCAGCTTGACGCACACGGGAGCCCACTAATGAAATATTTATTAGCGCCCGTCGTGCGAGTTAATGATAAAGAAAGGAACGCACACTTCGCAGGCCATAGATGGCGATCATGTACAGGACCCGAAGGAACAACTCGTTCCGCATCAGAATGGCGCATAGCAGGTTGCCAAGCACCAAAGCACCGAGATGGTTTTCCGCATAAGGGAACCGCCCGAGTGCAGCCAGGACTATTCCAGTCAAGTTGAGCGATATGGCAAACGTGAAGAACTTTCGGTATGTGTTGAACCAAAGTTGAAAGAGGATCCATCGACTAATCCGTTTTTTTTTTGGTGCTGGTTTCTTAGGTTCTTCCTCAGGTACCGGAGCATTGGTAGGTTGCCTCCCTGCAGGCCATGGCAGGGCCAGTGCTGGTACGCTGGAGGACGGTGTTATGCCCTCATGGACTGGTGAGATGGGATGTATTGACGTCCTCCGGCTTACATGGGCGAGCGGCGGTAAGACCGCCAAGCTCAGGCCTTTCTCGGCGGCATCCAAGTCCTGGCTGTGGCTGCCAGTGCGCGTGGCTTCGCTGTGAGACCATGGTAAAGACATGTTAAGTCCTCGAAACCCAAAAATGGCCAAAACGATACGCAAGTTGGTGGGTTTGACCCGGCCTCTAATAGTCCAGACAGGACGAGACCTCCACGCAGGCCATAGATGGGACAGTGGATATACCGGCTTTTGCCAGGGATAAATAAAACCTCCATCGTCAGATCAATATTTGACGCGAGATTGTTATATTTCGTGCCGCTGGCTACAGTATGCGCTGTTGTCATGTGCAGCTACGTCTAGGTGGCTCTCCCTGCGCGGCTCTAACAATTATTTATTAAAAGCCCCGATTATCCAAATTAATCCCCGGATTCGAAGGCCCGCACACCATATTTTTTAGCGGACCCCAGAGCCTAAAGTTCGTGGAGCTAACCTATCGACTACCCGGACGAGAGGATCGTGAGGATCGCTCTGGCAATACTGGGGTAGTAGACCGATAAGATGGTGCACCGCCTTAGCTTAGAGAAGTAACTTGGACCACGCGTTTTAGAACATATAATGCAAAAAGCTGTAGAACCCCGGACAGAATAATAGACAGACAGTCTTAATAAAAGATGCTCTAGCTTTTCCGAAGTAGATAATATTTTTTTATAGATATAAAATAATGAAATAATACTGGAGAAGATCCTAAAAATGGAGCAAAACAAAGTCAAAATACACCGTTTCCGAAAATTCCGGCGAGCTGCGACTCTAGTACTCCTATGTAACAGCTTACGAGTAGGGGGTTTACTCTTTATACACCCAATAACTCAGCCACCTGGTCACATTGGACTCTTCCCGTCCTAGGGTGGTTTTCACACTCTTAGATACTGCGGCACATTCATCTAAATTTCTAATATCACCTTGGCCGTTGGGTCAAGGTGTAATATCTCATAGTCCTACGCAGATGCAAAGGAGTTTAGGTTCAGGTTCCAAAGGGCCACCCCTTCAACCACATGTTCATATCCTTGGCGTTGCTCACATATTCTTCAACGACCGCCTCCATCACCTGATTCAATGCCCTCATCGCCTCATCGTATAGTTCTGCCTTTATAGTCCCATCTTCTGGAAATAAAGGGCCGACCGTCTCTCTCTTGCGGACGCACTCTAGCAGTTCTAATGCGGTTTTTCAATCCTCAAAATCAGCCACTGTATGACTGTGTCGTATTGCTCTTTTGCCGAAAAGGAGAAGGGTAAGGACACTCTTTAACCCCCCGAGAGTTCGTACGACATCGTACCATGTTTCGTGTTCAAGTCCGCGATAGGCTTAATATAGCTTACCTCGCCATCCAGAAAACAGTTCCGTGCTAGTAACAGTAAGGAATATGCATTTGTTTGCTGAAAGCCCAATACAGCATAGATTTGTGGCATGTCGCGATAAGCGAAGTTGTTAAAGAATACAGAGAACTCCCTTAAAAGTCAACTTGTACCCTCCTCTTTTCCGCGGGTTCGAATTCTTCTAAGTTCGGAAACTTAGGTCGTTCGATGCCTATAAGTTTATAACTCGTGGTCCTGTGTAATCGATAATTTGGGGCTGTCGAACTTGGAAGTAAATAGGGGTTAGGTCGGTTGATTGCCAGTTTATAATGATTAATGCCAACAATTTCGCTCGGGTTGGTAGGGTCCATGAAAATATTCCCAACATGTGTGCCAGAGTGCTAGAGGCATGGTGAGCTGATATAAAGGTTCGCGGGAGGAAGTAGAAAGGGGATTGACTCGAGAAAGTACTGTGGTGCTTCAAGTTTGTTTCCCTTCGATGGCATAAACGTTCCAAGGTCGCTAAGATTAATAGGGGAGCTATTTATCGATGTCCACCAGTAGCGTGATATTCTTCCACTGTTTCCCCTAAGTAGCGCAGCTAGTGCTAATCAGCATAGTTTAATACTAGAATGGGATGGGGGTTTTGCATAGTCCTCTATCGAAGTCCACATTCAATTTCTCCAAGTCATTCCACTCCCGCCCAGTAAATGGATCTATTGCAAGCTTTTCATGATGCTTTATTCCACATATACAGTATTTTCTTGGGCTTTTGGGTTCTAAGGGAAGACTCTCGGAGCAGGAGTCCCCAAGACGTTCCGTGGCTGCAAGAGTTTAATGTTGATAATTGTATAATAATAGACGGCATTCCTCCCCTTTCGCCAAGTGAAAGCGTCAGTCTATTGAAATAGAAACTTACAAAATCTATTGTAGCAACTTCGCTACCATTCGTGAAATGGAGGTTTCTAGCGTCAAGATTTGGGACCTTGGCCACCTTGAATCCCATTATACTTGGTGAGGAGCATAGCTTTGTTAAATCGCCTGTCAGGAATCAGGATACTTCTCGATGCTAATACGTATTCGCACTCTTACTGCATCGGCAACAAGACGCGTCAGTACACTGACATTAATGCAGATATAGCGTTTGTAAATTTTAAACCATTTATCAACGAGAAATCCGATTCGGCGGTGCGTATGGTTGAAAAGATCATCGCTGTATTCAGCTCTAATCAAGTTAATGGTACAAATAATATTTTCCAGGTATCACAAACTCAGCAAGGAGCAGAGCTTTTCGCGGCCTGGACTGGGGTTGTGTTTTTAGTTGAATAATATACTTTGTATACTTGGATTTCGGGCAATTTTGAAAGTACTGTACAAGTCCCCCTATCATATAGACGCCATCCAAAAAAGCATTTGAGCAATAGCTATTATGCAAACGCAAAAGAGTAGGACTTGATAAGAGGGCCCCGTTGTGGCCTTCAATTGCGAATTGCGAAAAGGTGTCGCGCCGTCACCATTAGTGTAGTAGCTGGAGCTTGTAGACTGACTTGTAGCGATGCAGTTAATGCCTTAATGGTGCGAATCCTAAGGCACATACGCAAAATGTCCCATCAGGCTAGTTTGGCGCGTAAGTTGGCCTTGCATATTGCGCATTATTAGGGGGCAACCCCCCTATACTTGACACAATCAATCACTCTTACAGCACCGGCAGTCAGAGCATGCGCCACTACGCTCCATACAACTATACGAAGCCCCTTATTTAACCTCGGTAGCCGCGCTTTGACTTTATCAACCAAGCGCCATACTCGATAAATATAAACTTTTCTTGTTTTTCTTGATATGGGGAGTCTTAATATGGCAAGATAACAGCTTTAAGCACCTGATTTTAGGTAGGCCTGACTGCAAACTCCCGGCGACGCCCTTCCTTCTCCATAAACACTGAAGGAGACTTCCCATCCTAGCCTAAAGCCCCGTAAATCATTACGTTCACTTCTTTACTCCCTTAAGCCGACTTTATACACGCCGAACAGCACGTTTCACCAACTCGTCGCGTATCATAGATCCCGCTCCTTTCCTCAGTCTCAAATATAGCGTTATCACTCCAAAGAAACGATTTCCAGTCCTTGTGCCCCACCACCTATACTTCTTTACAAAGTCGTAGGATTTCTTGGCTTGTTTCCTGTTAATCAAGGGCCTAGGACAGGCAACACCCCGACGGTAACCGAGTGATTTAAATGTGCGGCGCTGTAGCTTGACGTGAACAAGGTATGACTTAATTCGGCCTTATGAGGCGCGTCGGTTATCCTATGAGGTCAAAACATATTCCGTTATTTGTCGAATATCTCTCCGATTTAGGTTTGCAGCCTTAGTCCTTTCTTTCTCTTGGAAGAATCTTAATTGACGATGTATTGAACAAAGGAGCGCTTAAGGCAACTACTTTTGGTGATTTAGCCATCGCCACAGCCCATTCTCCGTATTAACCGTGCGTTTAAGCGTAAAGGAGCGGCCCATTCTTGACCATCTTCATGATTCCGTAACAGCGAAGACGATAGAATAGAGTTATCTATTATTGATTACTTCTACAACTGGTAATTAAAAGCGGATTGTGGGGTTGTGGGGTGGTGGGGTCACGGTAGTGGGTCTCGGCGCGCTGTGGTAGACGTATGGGGTGTTCGGGGAGTAATGGCGCCAGCTCCTACAACATGATCCAACATGATCCTACATGATCCGTTGTTGTACTTTGTATAAGCAGATACGTACTAAATTAATAATAGGTGGCTTAGCAACGTAATTAACCAAGACTGGGAATGATCGCCAAATCCGCCTTTGTTCCGTTACTAGTCTGCGCGAGCGCAAAGGAAGATCGTACGGCATTTCTGGTGCCTACGGTGGGGTAATTACAGAAACATTCATTGAAAAAAAATTTCCTCGATCAACTAAGTAGTGCCACGTCGTCTTTGAAGTAGTTGACGGCCACTGCTGGCGGCGAGACGCCAAGGAAGAACGATCAAGAAAACGAAAGAACAGCGACATCCAACGCTCTAAGCTCTGGAAGGAGGAGTCTTCTCTGCCGGCTTGCTCGCGAGATGTCACACCGCCGGGTGTGATCCTGAAGTAGCTTGAACATGTAGTAGACACATTATTATATCGCTGGAGCCAAGCACAAGCTAACAACTGGATAGTTACAAGAGTCAGCTAGCCCAATGAACTACTCTTAAGAACACCACTATTCTCCGAAAGGGGGTAATACTTCGAAAGATGCAGCAGCCTCCAGATATCATCGAGGCTTTACAGAATACCCATAAAATTCAAGTTGTCAAGGCTATACTCAACGGATAGGAATCCATTTCGACAGCTGATGACAATTCGCTACGTGACGTGCTGGAAAATTTACATGAAAGGGTGAATCTGGGCCCGAAAAGCATATTGATTTGATCAGCTAAGCGCATGCTATTTGACTTAACTCTCTAAGATATTCTGTAGCGCATGGTGAGACCAGACTTGATTGGCTTACTACTATCTGCCTAGGCAGTTATTGCCACTTATTCGTCGATACGAACAAAAATATCATATCACCTTGATGTAATTCCAGTATGGTTACATCCTTCATAAGCCTACCCTATCTTCAAATTTTATAAACAATACTTTATCAACCCAATGTTCAGAAAACAAATCCTCGTCACTTCATCACACACATGCTTCCATGGTAGGCCACCTAAACATTCCACTCTTTTGCCTCAGTGGTCCCTGTCTACTTAGTACTTATTTTATATTAGGCCATAGTGCACGACCATACCATTAGGCGACGATTGTGAATCTTTCACGTTGGAATTCCTCTATAACATCCTCTTCAATCCACAAATCAGGCTCGAAAGTGCCTTGACGGCTAATGACTTTAGCGGCCGATTAGCAATCCGTCAGACATATCGTGATTTGTTCTATGGTTTTAAGCCATTTTCAATGGCCCAAGACTCTTTTTATCAGGTTTGATGAATTCAAGCACATGGTGTCTGAATGGACAGGTAGCGTGGTTGCAGTACGCTGGTAGCCTAGATCGGGACAAATCCTTTAGTGATGCCTTCCATTGGCTTTGACACAGGAAAGTCTAAAATGCTTTCAAGCGTTGATCAAGGGTACTGGTAACCGTAGGAACAGAGAGCCATGCATTCGCCCCCCCCTGGATTCCCTAGCCACTTTAATCCTATTGATCAGAGCTCTTTTGAACATGAACTTAATCACCACTGGCCGGAAATTCATCATCCTTTTCAAAACTGCCCTGTGGACCTGACTCCTATCACGATTGGCAGCCAGCCTGGCGAGCGCAGGTTTGATATTCGTAGTATAGAGAATGATATGATATATCGTAGGATTTTTGGGCCGATCTTTCGAATAGATCCTGTCTAAACTTGATTATATTCTAAACAACAATAATGAATCATTATTAACTTACTAAACAAATAATAACTACTTTAACTTACTACTGCTGTGACCCTCAGCTCCGATATTAGATATGGCATGCGGGATACTATCATGTTAGGCATCCAGATATAATTAAAATAAAGCACAAGGCCACGTTTAATGCACGATATAGTATTTGGGAGTGGTGGATCCCGGATTCTCGGTGCTCTGTAGTCATGACTTATCCTTACTTATTGTAGCTAAATATATATATAGTATTTGTTTCCCACGCGGCTATGTCCTATGAAAAAGTGTAGTTTTTCAAAAATCTTTTGACTTCTCTGATATTTTTCTTGCATGTTCCACTCGTATCCACTCCCCAACAGCCTTTACAAAGCATTTAGCGTACCCTTCGCTAAATTTATAGGGGTCAGAACCCGCAGGTTATAGAAACTTGTATGAGCTGCTACAAAATCGCGAACATCCTGAGATTTATCCTTAGGGCGACCGAATACATTTCAATATATATCTTATATTTGAAATGTATTAGTAGTCTAGTTGCGTTAATATTTAGAAATGAGTGGTTGCTAGGTGAAGGTGGCTTGGGGATAGAAGCGACTACCCCTTTTCCTGATCCACTTAGGAATCTAAACCTCCCCCGAACTCAACGTTCCCCCTTCCCCCTGTCCAATCTCGACCCTATGCACCCGATACTTGTATTCTCTGCCTTTAGCTTATATCCCATGCCACTATATATATGGCATATATAACTTTTTTCAGTGCTTTAAATGATTCATGTTGGGTCATGTGACCTGTAACTGCTGTCTCAGCAATGACCTAACCCGTACGATGTACAGAGTTAATTCTATTCCTCTAACAGGCTTCTCCTATTTAGACTTAATAATACTAATATACACTACACTTGACCATATACCTATTCAAATATGATGGCCGGAACTAAATCTACCGCCGCAAATTACTAAATCTACGCTCACTACAATTCTGACATCCATTTCTTCGCCACGTGATATTGAGTTTTGCAGGCACCAGCGGGTAGCGGCAAGCTAATTTAGCGTGAGGCGATAAGGACTCGATAAGATAATCTCGATTCGCCTCGTCCTGCCTGGAGTGTTGGTGACTTCCTACAACAACTTCTACTCGTCTTACATCTCCGTCCTGCTTCCTCTCGTTCTGTTCAGCAGGCATCGTTCGCCATCCGTTGGAACTTGCAATCTTACCATTGCAATAGGAATACGCAAAATATATGTCGTCGACTGTAATAGCCCGCGCTATAGTCCCCCGTTGAGCTGCAACGTTCAGAATGGCTCCCGCCGAACAGCCCACGCAAGCAGATAGAGATGTCCCAAATGTCATTATTCAGAGCACAACAGGCCCCGTTAATGAAGATTCCCACACTCCACCATCACACTCGGCTTCTACTTCTCTTCAGAATAGTCCAACTATGCCTCCTGGTGCTTGGCGGGACCCTTTGCCGGCTCGTACCGCCCCTAGCTTGCAAGAGCTACCTGATGAGCTGATCGAGCTGATCTCACAACGATCATTGGCATCCGAGCCCTCTAGGAAAAGACGGAAGACAGTATTGGAGCAGGGAATGATAGGAATACCTGTAGCTGCAATCGAATCAGCTGCCAGCGACCCTGAGCTCGACTATATTGTTGTTAAGCAATCTGACTTGGATATTAAATGCTCCGGATCGAAGCTGTCGACTGTTGATATTCCTGCGGATCTGAATAGAGTTTTACCGCGTAATCTCTGGCGCTTTCCCAGGTCCCAGGACCTGGATGGCTCCCGGCACATTGAGATCATCAATGAAACGCGCCGTTGTCTTCTCCGCGCTCCCTTAACGATAGATATGGAGTGTTTTGAAGACGTTTGCCTAGCATTAGAGGTTGATCTTCAATCACACAAGTGGGCGAGAGGACAAGGCAAACTTTGGACCGAACTGGCACTTCAGCTTCTTCGAAACGATGGATATGACACTATCCGAATAACAGTTACAGTCAAGTGGAATATTACAACCTCGCCACTATATATTCGGCAAATCGGTACCAAAATCAAGGCGCTTCCAAAAATTTTAAGCCGGTACTTCCCAGATCCGAATCAGACACAGTCAGGTAAATGGAGTGCTCAGGATTTCTACAACAGCGTGCATACTCCAGATAAAAATGATCAAGGCGCGGCTTCTCTGACGGTGGATGGGCTCGAGGCAGATCTATACCCTTTCCAAAAGAGAAGCGTGCAGTGGCTGCTTAGAAAAGAAGGTGTAGAATGGTCAGCTATCGACAAGAGGATTACCTCTGCGAACCCGATTGAGCGCACAGCCGTCCCGATGTCTTTCTTGCCTGTAGTAGATCATCAAGGTCGGCAGTGCTACGTGAGTCATCTATTTGGTCTGGTCACCTTGGATGTTACACCATTTCGAATCTTGGAGCAAGACTTAAAGGGTGGTATACTCGCGGAGGAGATGGGCCTAGGCAAGACAGTGGAAATGATATCTCTGATTTCGCTCCATCGACGCCCGAAAGAACACAATGACGTCGTCTATGACCTATTTACCGGCCAGAATGTCCGACTGACTTCTGCCACTCTCATCATAGCTCCGCCATCAATCTCTCTCCAATGGATATCTGAGATCAACAAGCACGCGCCACATCTGAAGGTTATGCATTATGAAGGTATTAGGGTGCATAGTGGCATGGACTCTTCAGACCTCCTTGAGAGTTTGGCAACTTCAGATATCGTTATATCAACATACAACGTCCTTGCGGGTGAAATACATTTCACTCAGCTAAACCCAGAAAAGAAGCTACGTCGAGAATCCAAGTACCCGCGACCAAAGTCTCCTCTTATGGCGTTACAATTTTTTAGGGTTGTTATGGATGAAGCACAGATGATTGAAAGTGGCGTAAGTAATGCAGCGGTTGTTGCAAGGATGGTGCCACGAGTAAACGCATGGTGTGTCACTGGAACCCCAGTTCGAAAAGATGTTAACGACCTTCTGGGTCTGCTGGTATTCCTCCGCTACGAACCCTATGCTTCAACGAAGCATATTTGGACGTCTCTCATATCGTCCTATAAACAGCAGTTTCGTACATTGTTTGGAACTTTGGCCCTCCGTCACAGCAAACAGAGCGTCCGAGAAGAACTTAAGCTTCCGGCTCAACGGCGATATGTCATCACAATGCCTTTTACCCCAATTGAGGAGCAGCATTATCAAGAACTATTCAATCAGATGTGTGACGTGTTGGGCCTGGATGCTCAAGGCGCTCCCCTGGTGGATGGTTGGCGGCTAGGTGACCAAGCTGAAGTCATGAGAAGGTGGTTGGTCCGGCTTAGGCAAACCGCCCTCCATCCAGAGGTTGGTGGCCGCAATAGACGAGCGTTAGGTCACAAAGATGGTCCACTCCGGACTGTGGATCAAGTCTTAGAGGTGATGATAGATCAGACGGATCTGGCTGTTAGAACTGAACAGCGAAACCTCCTCACATCAAAATTGAAAAGGGGCCAGCTTTTTGAAAACTCGCCTCGAGTACAAGAGGCTCTTGATATCTGGACGGAAGCAGCAAACGAGGTATCTGTAATCGTTGAGGAATGTCGCCTGCAACTTCGTCAGGAGATCGCCCGAAACATAGCGGATGAAAAATCTCTGGATAAACCCAGCCATTCTACGTCGATGAGCGATTCCGATAGCTCCAGTGAGAAGGAAGAGTAAGTGTGCTAATCCTACGCAGTTGAACCGTTGCTGACCAAGGTGGATAGGGCCGACTTATCATCGCGTCTAGGCACCTTTCGAAATCGCCTTCGCGCTGCATTAGAGATACAGCATATGGCAATCTTTTTCTGTGCCAATGCTAATTTCCAGATTAAGTCGAACGAAGATATGACTCAGCCTGACTCGCCCGAATTCCAGGCTTTGGAAAAGCTAGAGACGGAGAGCTACGAATCAGCCAAGAAACTACGACGGGAGATTCTTCAGGAGGTAAGTCATTTATTTTGCCAGCCAGCACTTTTCTGGCCTCCTCACTATATAGAATTAAAGCGGCAGGCTGGAAGTTCAATGCCCAACAATGTCTCAGCTTAAGGAGGACGTCAACTTCACATAGCCCTAATTCTATGGAGTCTACCCCGGGCGTTTTCCTTATTTTATCCGCAGCGAATCCTCATACCTGAGACAAAAGTCCCGCGCTAAATAGTATTTGTCACAGATATACCGCAAAGCAGACAGGCTTATGAGAAAGATATCGAAAAAAGCTGCCACTCAAACTTTCGTAGAGATTCCCGAGTTTTCATCTAACCCGCCAAAGGGCGGCCTTGAGAGCCGTCGGATCACGGAGCACCTTGATACGCTGGGGTTGGTTTTTGATGCCCAGGCTAATCAGATTGATGAATGGAGAGAGCAAACGATACAGTTCCTTCTGCGACCTCTAGTGGACGAAGATGAAGGTCTTGAAATCACCGGAGACGAATATGAAGAATCGACCAAAACTCAAGATGAAGTCATAGTATATGTGCAAGCTTTGCGAGCTCTCATTGCCGACCGTCATGATGCTCTCACTGGCTTGGAGAATAAGCTGGTAGAACATGAAGTAAAGGTGGCTTTACGTCTAGCAAAAGATGGAGACGGAGCTTTTCCCGAGAAGGCCCTCGAATTGCTTAGTGCTAGGAACCAATTAAAACCAACAAAGGAAATGGGTTCGGTGCGAGGTAGCGTGGGAGAGCTCCGGGTGTTGGCTGCCTCGTTACGTACGGATGCGCAGAATGGCAGCTCCAGAGCGGAAAATGAGCTCTCCATTGTTGAGAAACAACTTAGCGGAACTCAAAAGCAGCTGAGTGAGCAGATCAAGACGACAGCAGCCCTGGAAAAGGAAATTGAGCTATTCACAAGAGTCATGAACACTAGACTTGAATACTACCGTCAACTGCAGCAAATCTCCGACATGGTTGCCCCATATGAAGGACCAAATAATGAAACGGCCCTTGGCAAGATGCTACAAGATGAAGAGAAGTTTGCGCGGAAGGTTGCCGCAGCAAAGACGAAGAGACGATACCTGTTGCATCTGAGAAACGAAGCCACGAACCCAGAAGAACAACGGATATGCGTGATCTGTAGGGAATCTTTCGAAATTGGCGCTCTTACCGTCTGTGGCCATCAATATTGCAAGGAATGTATACAATTATGGTGGAGTGGTATGTTCCAGAATAATGATCCTCCGTTCTCAGGCGTTGCTAACAATATTCCAAGCTCATCGTAACTGCCCTGTCTGTAAGAAAAAGCTCATCCAGGCGGATTTGCATGAGATCACTTATAAGCCCCAAGAGCTTTCAATCCAGGCAGAAGTTCCAGGGCCCCAGGAGCGGGCATCGCCATCAGCGACCTCCAGAAAGTCGGCCATATATTCAGAAATCAGTAAGAATAAACTCGCAGAGATCAAGAATATTGAACTCGACGGGCCGTCATTTACAACAAAGGTCGATACCCTGGCACGACATCTAATATGGCTACGAGACTCGGACCCCGGTGCCAAGTCCATCATCTATTCTCAATTCAAGGACTTCCTTGATGTCCTAGCACTCGCCTTCCAGCGCTTCAGGATTGGGTATTCGTCAATCGATAGGTCAGACGGTATTGAAAAGTTCAAGCAGGACCCAAGCGTTGAATGCTTCCTTCTACATGCACGAGCTCACTCTTCCGGGCTGAATCTGGTCAATGCTAGTCACGTATTCCTTTGCGAACCTCTTTTAAACACAGCTCTGGAACTGCAAGCAATCGCACGAGTAGACCGCATCGGTCAACACCAAGAGACGAATGTGTGGCTTTATCTTGTTGATGGCACCATAGAAGAATCTATCTATCAGCTGTCCGTCAAAAGACGCCTCGAGCACATCGGACAGAGACTTTCAAGAGGGAAAGGTAAAGAGAGAGAGCTGAGCCCAAATGAACTGATCGACACTAATCTTGAGGAGGCCAACTCAATGGAGCTGCAGCAAGCTCCGCTGAATCGTCTGTTGGCAAAGGGTGCGACAGGTGGTGAGATGGTCGAGGAAAAGGATCTCTGGGAGTGTCTCTTCGGCGCTGGCCACCAGAGGCCAGCGAAGCGAAAACTCGATGATATTGATAAGGAGGTAGGCCGACATCTTCGAGCTGAAGCTGCTGAGGTGAGGCAGGTTGTACATTAATAATATTCGGTGCTTATTAATGAATTATGATATATGACTTCATTCAATAAGTATTTTAATACTACGTTCAACGACTTATATTCCTTTAATTTATCTAGGTACCTAGGTACCTTAGGTACGCGCCAAAGATGGTGTTGTAGTTCCCCCTACAGTAAGACGACTAATAATATTTCCTACTTTTTGTAAAATGTATATAGCAAGATAACTAAATATACTTTAGTACGAAGTCTCATAGCAATGGATAAATTTGATAATAGTCTTTTTGATACCTTGTATCATAATAAGCATTGCTAAAATAGGCGTGGTGCCGGGGAACCCCACGGATGTCCCCTATACCCTAGCAAGCGTGATGGAGATGTCTCAAACGCATCCAGAAATCCAGCCTCGTAACCTCCCGACTTAAGCGAAACATTACAACCTCGCCGTTGTCAGCAACAACATGGTTATTGGTTTCCACGCAGCATTAACGCGCATCTCGCTGCGGAGTTAGAGGTTTACAAGTGGCTCAAGCTACAATGCAGCTTTTGCACTGTTATTGCCCCAGCACTACCGCCTATTCGAGAAAGGGTGAAAAGCAGGCGAAATGTCGAACTTCAAGCGCACCGCGGTCACAGGCGGCCCTGGAGCAAGGAGAGATGTCCTTTCCTCCTTGAAAGGGACCCAAATGATCGAAAGCAAGGCAGTACTGCCGGCAGAAATTATATCGACTATCCTCGACTACCTCCCGATCCCCGACCTCATGAGCTTTGCACGCACGTCGAAACGGATGCTGGAGATGGTCTACGAAGACTCGAGATGGGTACAACGGCTAAAGGTTATGGGGGTATGGAATGAACGGGAGGCACGGAAGAGATTCGAGGATGCCATAAAGAAGAAGCGTGAGATAATGAAGGCACGCGCGGAGGAAGATGGGAAGAGAATGGGAATAGGGGTTACTGGAAAGGCTGGAGTCCAGAAGACAAGTACGACTTTATTCGATGCTAGCGCTGAGGAAGAGTGGCAAAAGCGCTCTATGGAAATAGGTTCAAAGCCACCACCGGCGCCGGTGGACGGCTTCGAAACGTTAGCAATATCCACACCCAGCGCCCCAGCCACTGCGCCAATCCAACGCGCACCCATGTTAGAGCCGGAAGCTCTGCTTAATATATTCTCCGGTGTGAAGTCGATCAGAGGTTCTGCAAGACAGGAATACGGAAAGATATATGCGGCTCTGGCACCGTTTTACTATGATCTTGCAAGGTCAAGAAGTCATGTGGACCCTGTCATTTTTCGCGTATACCGAGAGCCAGAGCAACAGGCCCAGATGCTAGCACATTTGACAGTATTTGCTCGCAATGACTGGGCTCAAGGGTGGAGACAACGAGAGGAGAAGCTTGTTACCATGATTGGCATCTTTGAAAATGCGGTTCTACGAGAGTTCGAGCAAGGCTATGAAGCGTGGGATATTGATGGGAAAATGCGACGTTATGCACATGTCTTAGGCGTCCTAAATGGAGGACAAGCGGGTATCGAGCTTTTCGTACAGAAGCATCCTATATTCAATGAACGCATGGGCAGTTCAATGGATTGCCTCAATCAAGCCTCGTCAGATGGGATCGTGTTGGAGCCTTCACGGGAATTTCTAGAGAAGCTTGCCCACAAAATGAACGAGCAAGCTGATGTCGTCGACCGAGTATTCCCGCCCGGCGAAGACGTGCTCCAGATCCTCTTGGAAAAGGTTGGGGAGGATATACTTATGGAGTATGTAACCCCCCTCTTCGATGAGGCCCATGAGCGGAGTATCTCATCTTATCTAATGGCCGTTGCTGGAGTGTTTGAGCAAAGCATGCGATTTGGCTTGACTCTGAAACCTAGCAAGAACTCGGGAGATGACTTTAGAGAAAAGGTCAAATCTGTCATAGCTAGGGTATTCGAGCCTCACGTGGATCTATATCTACAGGAAGAGCTCGATTATTTCAAAAGTCTAGCGCAGGCTGAAGTGGACGACTGGGAGCAAAAGCTCTCCGAACAGGAAGCGACCAAAGAATCGTTTTTTATGGGAAATTTCAACCGACAAGCTGATAAGAAGGATTTCTTGAGCTCGTTCAAGAAGGTGATCATGATGCCTGTCAATGTTCTTCCTAGCTTGCCATTAGCATCACCTTTTGGTGCACCGTTCGCGACTGCTAAACCTACCCCAGCACAGCTGACTGCCAGCAAGCCTGGCCTCCAACCTCCAAGCCCTGCATTGTCTCCAAATCCGTCAAGACCGCAAACGCCAGGGCTGAGCCCAAGGCTGGATGGAACATCCACACCCCTGCCGTCGGAAGCTCCAACGGATGAGCTGGCCGCCAAAGCCGCTCTGATGGCCTCGAGGCTGGAAGGGATCAGATCTTTATTCAGCATTGAGGTCGCACTAGACTTGACGCATGCTGCGAAAGCCAGCATCGAGCGGGCGGCATTATTTGTCCGACTTGGCAGTCAGACAGGAGAAGAGGCACGAGAGCAGTGCGAAGCGATCTTTGTGGTACTTCTCCAAATCCTCGGAGACCGGCATGTTAAAATTGGATTCGACAAGGCAGTTGACCACCTCTCGAAATACAATCCCCGGGAAGTCAGTGAGCATCAGCAGGGCGTTGCTCCCCTGGTGACGTTCTTGGAGCTTGTCAATGTCGGAGATCTTATCTCCCAAATGATAGATGTCTTCTACGAGCAACAGTTGGCAACCACCAAACTTGCAGATCGTAATGACTTCCTCGATCCAGCTGTCAAGGCCAAAAAGAAATTCGAGCAGATGCTCGATGAGCGTGTTGCAGCCGGACTGAATAAGGGCATTGATGTCCTTATGGATGAAGTGGAATATATCTGCTCAACTTTCCAATTGCCCACAGATTACCAACCCGTTGCCGCACCAAACGGCAAAGCGCAAGATTTCGATATCGGTCCCACGAAAGCCGCAAAACAAGTCGTTGAGGTGGTGGAATCGCACACCAAAATGCTGGTCGGCAGCACCGACAAGAACATGCTAGACGTCTTCAACCAAGAAGTCGGACTCCGCCTCTTCACCGCGCTCTGCAAACACCTCAAACGTCAGCGCGTCAGCATCGATGGCTCCATCACGCTCATCTCCGACATGAATCTCTACTTCACGTATATCACCACGTTGCGCAACCAGGATCTGCTAGAGTATTTCAAGGCTTTGAGAGAGCTGAGCCAGATTTATCTTATTGATCCGAAGCACGCGAAGGAGATGGCAGAGGTTATTGCTGATGCGGATCGCTTCCGAGGCATCTTTCGCGCCGAGGAGGTTTACGAATTTGCGGAGCGGAGAGCTGATTGGTATACCGTGAAGAGGGATGTTGAGAGGGCTATGTATGGCATTGGATGTGTCTGCATGTGAGGCTTCCAAAGCGGATGGTGGGTTGGGTGTACGTGAAAGCACTACCAGGTGCAACACACTCATACTTCCTAGACCTCGTAGACTTACAAAACTTAGCTAGTATATAATGTATATATATATCACGAGATCTTGCTGTAGCTGTGGCAAATCATAATCCACTCTGGGAAATTTTCGGACCGTTCTAACGCCTATACGCCCATTTAATGCACCTCTCCTAGAACGCCCTACAAGTCTCCCCTTCCATTCTCTTATTACATTGCCCCAAAATCTAATTTCCGAGCTACTTTCGCTCCTCGATCATCATCTAGGATCCCAGGTCTCCTCTTCAAATCCTCCGCCAGCTTCTCCTCGCCGGCCTTCTTCCTAGGCAAATCCTCCTTTCGCGTAGGCTTCGGTTCCGAGCGCCACCAGTTGTGCATCAGAACCTCCTTCGCCGTAATCCGGTTCCTAGGGTCTAAAACCAGCATTTTCATCAACAGATCCGCACCCTCTTGACCAGTGGTGCCAAACGTAGCTAAATAATGGTCACGAGGTCTTACGGGATTGTGAGGTTCTGGGACTGTGTATTCGGGCAGTTTTGATACGCCGGGCCAGTTCTCTTCAGTTGGCGTGCCGATCGCTTGGCAGATTAGGTTCACTTGGTGAACTTCTGTGTCGCCAGCTATATACGGTGTTCGAATGACGAGCTCGGCGAAGACGAGACCTACGCTCCAGATGTCAACTGCGCCGGAGTAGTGCTTCGCTCCGAAGAGGAGCTCAGGGGGCCGGTACCAGCGGGTTATGACGTTGGATGTCATGAGGCGATATGGATCGGAGAATGATCTCGCAAGACCGAAATCTGCTAGTTTGATCTCGCCATCGCCGGAGATGAGCAGATTGTTAGGCTTGATATCCCGGTGGAGAACGAAGTTCTCGTGGCAGAACCAGATTGCCCGGGATAGCATCCCCATCCAGGCCTTTATATCGGCCGCGCCGTAACGTACCCCTTCCACGTCCTTGATGAGCATTTCGAGGTCGCCCAGAGGGAGGAATTCGAGGACTAAGTTGAGATTCTGGTCTTTGGAGGAGAAGACGGAGAGGAGGGAGATTATGTTGGGGTGGGAGAGTTCTTGGAGGTGTTTTAGTTCGCGGACGGCGTCCGGGGCCATGCCTTCGGTGTATTCCTTTTGGACTTTTATTTTTTTGATGGCGACGAGGGTAGACGGAGAGGAACGTAGATGACCGAGGTAGACATTTGCATAGGTTCCCTCACCGAGCTTTTTGCCTGTAGAGAGAGTTTAAAGTTAGGGTCTGCCGTTTAAGGTAGAGGGGTTAGATATAAAACCGACCTTTTACATATTTCAGCTTTTCATTCTCGTTCATCTGTTCTGCTACATCATTCCCAGAACTGCTACCATTTCTAGCTTGGGCTTGTGCTTCCGGAGTCGCTCCACTCGAGGAGGGGGCAGTGGTTGAGAGCTTGGACTTGGTGGTTGCGGCGCTTCTCTCCCTTTCCCCAGCGCCTGGGATGATAAGAGGTGAGACCGCCATGTTGAGTTGAGGTCCTTGTTGAGACCTTCAAAACCTCAGTAGTTGCGTACTATTGCATTGTTCTGCGGCCATTGACAACTGCAGTGGTGGTAAATAGAGGCCGCGGTCCTTAATTGGCGTTGATGTACAAGTAATTTGGACTCGGAGAGCCTCTCGAGTCTCGAGCTGTGTTCCGAACGTCTTGTCCCTGCAGGGCTGCCACCTTCGGATTAGAGATTGACGAGGCTGAGCCAAACATGTGACTTTGATCACGTGCATTCGTTCTCGACCAACGTGTGGCTGTGCGGCAAGTGTGGCTGGGCCCTTATTCCTGTGCACGTACTTGGCATGATGTCATTGTAGCTTGTCGGTGTCTCACCCGCGATGATTTTCACTATGATGTCAAACATTGTGCCGACCTGGGTAAGCTCCGAGTATCAACTCCATTCGCAACGCAGCTAACACGCAATATCCGGCCCTCCGGCCAGGATCTGATTTTATCGCACGTTATCAGAAGTGGAGATCAGCGCCCTTCCTTGCTTGTGCATTGCAGTCGGCATCCCACGTAAGTCCGACGCGTCGGAGGAGTGAGCTTGCGTCTCATATTCCCTCTCTTTTGAATAGCTTCTTTTTGTATAATATATTCCCATAATCGCATTCCCATCCCCACCCCAACGCTCGCTCAATTTTGGCCCAGCTAAGACTGTCGCCCTAATCAATTACAACCCCGTCGATCATGTGGAGAATATCATACTGGGTTCGTTTCAATCCCCCTCGCTAGCAATCCAAGACCATGAAGATCTACGTCTTGATCTGTCGAGAACACCCCAAAACTAACAGGCTCCCAGATCTTCCCAGTTATCTCCTCCCTCTGCTGGCTCGGGACCCTCCTCGGCCTCCTCATCCACTGGAGCGCCATCGGAAAAATTATATACCCGTCCATGGAACCCGGACAAACAATCGCGTACATTTCCGACGTAGGCGCCGGGAAGCTAAAGCCTCTCTTTATCGCAGGTTCCTGTGTGACCACCATCTTCCTCGATATCGCATTCCTCTCCGGACGCTGGCTGCGCCATCGCGGTCGACTGGCAAGGAATACAACACTGTACGAGAAGGTATTAAGTTGCTTGGGGATATTGTTCGCGGTTGTGGGCACCGTGGGTTTGATCTTATTGAGTATTTTCGACACTCGGCGTCATAACCAGCTGCATCATATTTTCCTGGGCCTGTTTATTGGTGGATATGTCATATCCGCCATTTTTGTATGTTGGGAATACCAGCGTTTGGGAATTAGTAAGAGCTACCTGCCTCCTCCCGTTCCCCTTGAATTAATCGAATCAACACCTCAGACATACTAACTTCATCAATTCAGAATACCGCCAACATCGGGTCCTCCGTATATCCTTCTGGATAAAACTCACCTTCATCCTAGTCGAAGTCGCACTCGCCGTTGCATTTGGAGTCTGCAACCGCAAAAAGGAATATAACGCCGCCGCAGTCCTTGAGTGGACCATTGCTTTCATTTTCACCTTCTATATATTTACCTTTTTCATTGATCTCGCACCTGCCGTCTACACCAAAGGGATGGTCCCGAAATTTGGCACCGGTCCTGCAGAGACGGAAATGCAGATGGAGCAGAATGATGAGGCGGCAGATATTAGTAGGAGAACAGCGGATAGCCAGAGACCATTAGGTGGGAATATGGAGGGTGTTAACGGATCTGCCCAACCGCAACAACCGATTGTCCGACCACAACAAGCGACTAATTTCTAGAGGTTGCGAGAGTGCATGAAAAGTTATCGGCGGAAAAGGCAATAGTAACGATACTATGTGGGAAGACGTCTATTTAATAAACATATGTCGGAGTTTCTAGGAAAGGACAATATAGATGGGCACACATGACTTTACGTACACGAAGTATTGGTTGTACAATAACATATGGGACAAACGGCATACCTTGGAGTTGCGGCATAGCATAGCATACCTAGGTAGGTACCTAGGTAGTTTAATAAGCATAATAAATGATTCGAGCGTTGTTAGTGCCTAGGTATCTGAAACAGCCATCTGAGTGACATTCATCTGATAATCTTAGTCGAATAATCGAGGATGAAGTTCTAGTTTTCATTTTAGTTTGCATTTTTATATAAACTATAGTTATGTAGCGTTACAGTACATTCGATAAATACACACACAAAACACCATATATACCATACCAATAAACAAACGCAGCAACGCCTCCGTTTCCTTATATACCTCTCTACAAACAGAAATTGACGGAAGCTAACTATAAATACAGCAATAACACCAACATGTACTCCTATCCGACCCCAGCTATAGAATAATACTTTTGGCCCCTTCGTCTCTTTCTCCAACTTCCTCAGGAATATGGTTTACTAACTCTGGAAGATTGCTAGATCTCCTCCGTAAACCGAGTTGACCTCGCAGGACTGCTACTCTTAGGCTCCGGGAGTTTTGGAGGCGGTGTAAGACCAGAGATGCCTCGCTCCGGCGACACACCGCTCACATTATCATGGCTGACGAGATCTTCATACATACTGGTAGGCGAACTGACTGGGCTATGGTCGCGTCGTACGGGACTCCTGCCTACCCTGTCCTGATGCTCCTCTGCCTCGGGGGTAGCTGCTGGAGCTGCAAGTGGGGTGACTTTCGCGCTCGCAGTATCAGTTGCAAGGTTTGTACTGCTATTCTTTGCACTTCCGCCGGTAAGTGCTGCTCCGCCTATGAATTTACCTCCGCTGGTTCTATCTGCAGGCTGATTTTCAGCCTGATTCGGAGGTGTATGCGCTCTGCTTAACCGACGGCCGATTTTCGTCTTCAGCCAGTTCTTCATCTTGCTCGAGTCTTCGGAGGTGCCAGACTTTGGCGATTTTAGTGCCGCCTCATCTTTGGCTACAGAACTTGGCCACTCGTCTACGGCGGTAGTAACCCGCTGAGGGCTTGAAGTATCGGCATTTGCCGGCGTAACTAGGGCTTCACTTCGCTCGGGGAGAGTGGCACTAGTTATAGGTTCGCCCTGAGTTTCCACTGGTACGGCGACCGCGACGGGGGCAATAGCGACTGGGGCAGCAGCAGGCTCTGTGATTTCAGGCTCAGTTGCCTCGCCTGTCTTTAGAGATCTCCGCTTCCCTTTTCGCAAGGCCCTTTCCTCGGCTTTGCGGGCTTTCTCCTCTTCTTTATCTTGCACTGAAATCTAGTCAGGTGAGGGATTCTAAAATATATAAGCTAACTTACGTTTTAGCTTGCGATGGATCTCTTTCTCCTCCATCTCGTGGAGCTTCCGCTCCTCCAACTTCGTTTTCTCATGTTCGTGTTCGAGCCTAGAGCTTACGTCCTTCGACATGCGCTTTTCTTCATCCCTGATGTGTTTCTCTTCGGCCTTCCGGGCTTTCTCCTCCTCCTTGTCTTGCTCTGTAATTAAGTTAGCTAATAAGTTTCAAGAACCATAGGTAACCCAGCATACGTTTTAGCTTGCGATGAATCTCTTTTTGCTCCTTATCCCGAATCTTCTGCTCCTCTGCCCTTTTCTTCTCGAGTTCTTGCTCCAACCTCATGTCAGCTTCCTTAGCTTGCTGCTTCTCCACTTTATCATTGATTTCATCTAGTACTGGTTGCACATTCCGGGCCGCAATCTCATCGATTTCGCTTTGGTCGATGAACTTGCCGCCACCAATGTTGACCTTGTTATGATGCTCCATGCGCCGGGTGTCATTCCTCCCCTGTGCCGCAGCTTGTGCTTTGAGCTCCCACTCGCTGATAGTGGACGGAGAAGGTCTGCCAGTCTCGGCCATGACCCTTTCATCGATAGCTTGTAAGTTTTTGGCCACGTTCCGCTGAGCAGCAGCAATTAAAGCTTCTCTGTCATGTTGCCTCTTCTTCGAATCCACCTGGGACAAATTGCTCGAAAACAGAGACATTTGAGCCCGGATCGTATTAGATTGCTTTCTATCCTCGTCTAAATCGCCATCACTAGAGGCTCGACGTCGCATCGTTCCCCTAATCGATAACCTGGATTTTGGGTGCTGTTGCTGATTCTCTCCATAATAGTCTCGATATTCACGATACTGTGCATGCTCATCATGAAGATTTGCTAGACGCTCTTGGGCAAGCTTTTGTGCTTGGATTTGAAGATTGGCGAAGTGGGCTGGGCGATCGCCATCGCTCACACCTGATCCTGAGGGTTGTCGTCCATGAGCTAGAGCTGCTCCCTGATGAGCACTTGACGCAGCATCAAACTGCTTTTGCTGCAAGTTGTACATCTGTTTTGCCATGGTGACAGCGGATGCATGCAGAACACCCTGCCTATTCTGTTCCTCAACTTCGGGGCCAATTGGAGGGTGTGATGTATACATTTCTCGAGGCATAGTGGAGTACGGGACGGATCCACCCTGGGGAGTGATACCAGTGCGCATCTTTGACCTGTGCGCCGAGTTGGCGGCACGCAATGCATTGGTAACGGCATTCGCCTCATCTGGATAAGTTTCAACCTTTTTCGCGGGCATTGGCGTTGACTCTGATCGCCTTCTGCTAGTGGACATCGCGCCCGTAGCAGCCATCAGGGAGCCTTTACGTCCAATGGTAGTATATCCATAATCAAGCTGCGGCGACAATGTCCCTGCATTCTTTAGAGCCTGTGTAGCAGCCGAATTCCCCCACGGGGTTGCCTCAGCCCTCCAAAGCTCGACCTTCGCACCACCACTGTGTGCGAGCACCGCCGCCGCGGATGCCGAAGCTGATGAATCTGGCCGCCAAAGCTCGAATGGTTTCTGATTTGCCCATCCCAAACTCGCGGCTGCCCCAGCGGCGGAATCTGATTTCTTCAAGCCCGCCGAAGGAAAGCTGGGTAAGTCCTGGGGATTTGCGTATTTGAGGGACGCCGCGGCGCCTATCGTATTGTTGAAGTTAGCGAACAATGATCTAGCCAAACCACACTTCAAGAATTCGACGACTTAGTCTGGGTGCTTACCAGCAGATGACAACCTATGATTTTTATCGAGAATCTCGTATGTTCCTCGGGAGGAGCTGTGGGTAGTAGCGTGCGATTGCGATGCGCCAGTATGGCCACCACGGTGAGATGGCGTAGGATCGGGTGGGAGAGGCACGGACGCGGGTGTTACCCGCACGGATTGTGTCTGCGACATGTTTGGCATTTCACTCTCCTCGTGGGGGTGCAATGAAATTGGGTGACTGGAAGTATTATATCGCGGACCAGTTCGTAAGCCGGGGTGTAGTTGAGTAGATGGGTAGTTGCGAAGCTGGGGTCACCACTGGCCAGCTGATGCTTGAGTCGAGTTTATACTTATGCTTTCCGAAGGAGGGGCCTCCGCTCAGAGCATGTGTTGATCTGATGTCATATACCAAAGCGAGCAAACTCAATGCCCTGTCCTGTCCCACGAGGCTTAGGCAATCGTGGACTGAGGTGTGAACGCAAGTAAGGCGTAGTTGTGGGGTGTAAGCGAAGAGAGAGAGGATGACACAGGACAGAGGACTGCAAGCGGACGAGAGAAGAGATAGCAGAGAGAGGAGGAAAGGTAAGACAGAAGGGAAGAGGATGACAAGCAGGAGTAGAGAGACACCACCTTGGCAAGGTCTGATCAGCAATTACCTCTAACCTCAACTGTAGATAACTGTCGCCGTTGCGCTCATCATCAAACTTTCCGCGGTCGTACATCACTGAAATGGGATGAAGGCGACGTCATTACTTCAGCCACAATCAACGTCGCTTCCCGAGCTATCCCGCATGTGGCTGGTGGGACATCTGATCAGCTGACTGTGGTAGCATGTGCACGCCACTGAGCTTACGAATAAGTTAGTACCTCATAGTACGAGTGATGTCGTACTCGTACTCGCTAAACTGACACCTGAGATCTCTCCTAACACCGAATCCCAAGTCTCCCCTTTGCACATACAATCAGTTGTTTTGTTCATGCTCTTTTTACGACGACAGCTCTAGAGCCTCAAGCTTCCCGCTGCAGTACCGGTGTTATCTTACCCCCAGAGCGTAGCTGTTGTTCTTGGTGTTTTGGTGTTTTAGCAGTGCTCATTCCCACTACTCTACTGCAGTCAAAGGTCCGTCCTCCCTGCACTTCTACAATGGCACGACAGGTACTAACTTATTATACTACAGGTTTTGTTTGATATTATATTCTAATACTCACTTTTAATCCTATCTACTAGCATTATTTATCCTGCCAATACAGCTTATTTATTGCACGCACTACCATAACATCTCATTCTCCGCTCACCAGAGTCACCACCTGGTCTCACTTCGGCCAGATCTGGATGAGAGAATCCAAGATCTCTCTACCTCCACCCAACCAATTTCCAGCAGCCCAATCTATGCCGCCACGATTTATCATGTAGAAGTTGCTGGGTGCGAATTGCACGCCGCCTACTATAGGGGGGGAGTACACGCCCAAGATTCGGTGCTTAGAATGCCAGCCGAAACCAACCCTGCACCCCACCCCATCAGCAATTGCTGATACTGCGTACCAGGACTAGTCGACGGCCTGTTGGAGCCAATGTACCATCAAGACTGCCTATTGCATTGCATGGCGATAATCCTGGCGTTGGCGGCGATACTGTTAGCCGCTCCAGCTACAGCATTCATGGCTTGGCCACCCACGCGCAAAGCACCCCGGGTGCCAGCATACGATCCAAATCCTTGGACGAGCTTCTGGCCATGGAACATGGTAGGCAAAACTGCGGACATGAACTTGTACATGGAGCAAAAGGAGCCGATATATCTTACCGGCTGCCATTTTCCATGAACTTGATGAGACGACTTAGGGTTTGTTCTCGCAGTTCTGCGTCGTCGGCCTCGTCCCCGCCTTCCCCGCCTTCCTCGGAACTTTCATCCTCCTCTGAAGCTCCTCTCTTAGCGGCGGTATTATTGGAATCTTCGCGAAGATTGTCTTCCGTGGCGGCACGGGACTGCATTCACCGGCCAGCATTCACAGCATTGCACAGGAGGTCGCCAGTAAAGGCAAAGGGCCGTATCTCAGGTCTCCCGTAGCATCCGGGTCCAAAAAGGCGCGAACGTATTCATATTCGATGAAGTCGAAGCGGCCTGCAAAATAGTCCTAACTCGACACCCAATCCGTACCTGGGTGGCTTGTCGAAAACCCAGCGGCCACTTCATTCGTTAGCCGAGCCATGCTATAGGCACTCACATCTCAAGCCTCTAGTTCTGCCGACCGCTTCATGGTGGTTGGCAGGACAAACGATTAGTCACGTCCCAGTCCGTGGGACATTTTGCCCCGGGTTTGAGGAACTTTTCGAGTTCCCATGAGAATGTGTCCAAGGTAGGGTTTCGCGGAACCAAAGTCTGCTTGGGGGGGGGGG